AAAAAGGGTCGATTTGTATGGAATACAGAGCTGCGTCGCTGGCTTACATGCGTCGCTCGCTTACCGATTACGTTAACAATATATTCGATTAGTCAGCTAGCGTCATGACGATCCATGATTTCTACCGTTTTCCATGATACTATTTATCTGGCAACTTTCCTATTCTGACTACTGATATACGTGGCCAAAACGCTCATTGATTAGTATTTAGTTGCTCAGAATGCTGTAGTTACAGGAATTCAGTCCCTTATTTATTGATATCTCTGGCCATAGAATTACGAGTGTATTTCGAATACCATTTATGTTGACAGAATAAGAAGAGCAAGCGGTGAGGCAAGCGGTAGAGTGTCCTAAACATGAAATCTTGTTTTGGCCATTTTGGCCACCTCGGTCCGCCGTAGTCCGTCTCCACAGGAGTCCCAGCAGGACTTTATTGTGATTACCAATCGACAGCATTGTAAGCCTCTGATAACTGTGCCATAACCCTGTAGCTACCGATACGTAGTGCCAATCCTGTGGAAAGGTTCGGCAAGTTCACCGATGGTTTACGAATCGTAATGTCCTGTTTCATTTTCGTATCGGCCTTCTGCCCGAGTTCATCTCCAACTGTCTACCAAAAGTTACCCGAAATATCACGTATTGGGACACATCTAGGTGCCAGGCATTTTTGGCCGTCTTGTTATATATATTGGTAGATGCCTACTTTCGTAACGCAACCCGAAAGACAGACAGGCAGTAAGTCAATAGGATGGGTATTCAACGGAACAATGATATTGAGAACTGTGGTCTGTCCGATCGTTTCGTGACAGGAGAACTGCCCCAGGCAGACAGGGCCTCAGTGAGTCTAGATGAGCACGAAGATCCCAGGAAATGGCCAGGAGGGAAGAAATGTAAAACGGCCTGAATGAACAATATAACATACGAGTTGTTTACTAACATTAAATGGGATCCAGGGCTGTGCACGGTGATTGTGGTTATGATGACCGCAACGATAGCATTTTGCTCGAGTATATACACGGCTGGTACTACTCACATCACCGAATACTATGGATGTTCGCGGACGGTTGCCACTCTTGGGGTGACCACCTTTCTTCTGGGATTCGCATCGGGGCCCCTTATCTTTGCACCTCTATCCGAAGTCTGGTTTGTCTGAACCCATCCTTGTCGTCGGCTCAGACGGTCCTAATAAAAGCCCTACATTTCAGTGGCCGAAACCAAATCTTCCGACTTACGCTAGGCCTTTTTGTGCTCTTCCAAATCGGGTGTGCTTTAGCCCCCAATATTGCAGCCTTGATCATCTTCCGCTTTTTCTCCGGGTTCTTTGGTTCCCCGACGGTAACCAACTCTGGAGGCTGTATTACTGATATCTGGCCCCAAAGCAACCGCTCCGTACCGTTAGCATTGTTTTCTGCTGGAAGCTTTCTCGGTCCTGTGTTTGCCCCAGTGGTCGGCGGTTTTGTTTCCGAGTACCTATCCTGGCAGTGGAACTTTTGGCTCGTTCTTATTCTGAGTGGAGCTGTCTACGTCGTCTCCTTGATCTTCCTACCAGAGACATACCCTCCAAAACTGTGGCGGGACAAGGCACGTCACTATGGCATACAGGCGGCAGAGACCTCCTTGAAGACACAGCTTCGCAAGACCCTGATTCGGCCCTGGCGGATGCTATTTGCAGAGCCCATCCTCTTCCTACTTTCGCTGTACATGGCCTTTATCTATGGCATCCTGTACCTCGACTTCACGGCATATCCCATCGTGTACGGACAGTCCCGTGGCTGGTCAGCAGGTATGTCCGGCCTCTCATTCCTCGGAATGGGCGTGGGTATGGCGGTTGCAACAATAGGATCTCCATACGTCAATGTCATCCATGGCAAATATGTCGCCAAACTCGGCCCCGAGCCCGAGGCCCGACTGCCACACCTGGTGAGCCTCTCCTGGCTTATTCCCGCCGGTCTATTCTGGTTTGGCTGGACCGCAATGCCCCCTACCCATTGGGTGGTTAGTATCCTGTCTGGGGTGCCCTTTGGGTTCAGCCTCATCATGCTCTTTCTCGGCATTACATCTTACCTCACTGATTGCTACGGCCCATATGGTGCCAGTGCTCTAGCAGCAAACGCGGTCTTCCGATCTATCTTTGGCGCTGTGTTTCCGCTGTTTGGGACCGACCTTTATGATGGGTTAGGGGTGCCTTGGGGGTCAAGTTTACTGGGTTTTGTGGCGCTGGCATTGGCGCCTTTGCCCTGGGTGTTCTATCGTTTTGGTCCAAGGATTAGGATGAGGAGTAAGTATCATCGGATGATGGTGGAGGGTGACGCATGAAGCTCTTCGAGTGGCAGATACGGCTAAGATGCACGTAACGCAGAGTATGTGGTATGGTCGGCGATATATACACAGAGTCACTTGTGAGACCGATAAGCACAGAGAAACACCTTTGTCAAAGTGACCTAAACAAACATTCACTTAGGCTTATCATTGAGCTTGTAATGAGGATCAAGCGAATTCAAGCCAAGAACAAAGAGATCAAAAACATGGAATCATGGAGAACTGAACTATTTGAAAAGTCTACATGGAACCTTCCCCTAAAATATACAATACCGTAAATCTTGCTTTCTATAATAAAGTGTTAATCACTGTGCACATGTCCCTTCCCCTGCAAGACATGGAAGCGCCCATCTTCTATCGCAAACCAATCCAAGATCAGCCTCAACATATATGTCATGCCCTAAGCCTTACCTCGCACTACTAATCACTGCGCCTCTCGAATAAGACCAACACACTCATACCATCATTCTCCTCCATGGCCGCGGCAGCAACAGTGAGCGCTTCGGTCAAGTTTTCCCTAGAATCAACCGACATCGCGCGACGACTCCCCACAGTAAAATTCATGTTTCCGACCACCAGAAAACGTCGCTCTCCCGTCTTAAACCGGATCCTTATTCATCAATGGTTCGACAACTACTCCCTCAAGGACTCCAACACGCGAACAGAGTTACATATCAACGGCCTAGAAGAAAGCGGCCGCTTCCTGCGCAGATTGATCGATGAAGATGGCATGGCTGCTACATGGCGAATATAATCGCGTCGTGATCGGGGGGTTGAGTCCGGGGTGCGCATTATCGGTGCTTTGTCTTCTAGGGACCTCGTTTAGTGGAGAAGAGCCTAGAAGGCTCAGAGAATTTATCGGGATGAGCGGGAGATAGCTGGGCTATTGAACCCTGGCGAAGGCGAGTCCGAAGCTGAAGATGGTAGTCCTTTCTCCCATGATGATACGGACGGTGAGGATGTTCCTGTGCAGGTCCAGACAATTAATCATGTTCGAGATGTCTTTAATCTGCCGCCCTTACAGCAGTTTACACGGCACTTGTTAGAACCACCTGTGTTTGGAGGGCTTATGAGGACTTCGGACACATGTACAAATTGCTGGATGCGATTGAGGGCGTGCTGCAGTTTCTCAGGGAAAAGGTTGGAGTTTCATTTATCCAATAATCTGGAGCAGCTGTCATGAAGTCCCGATGAACGCGAATGTACTCCAGCGCTGGGTGTACATTTGCTACAAATTGAAGAGTTATGTATATCCTCGCTACCCCGTGAAGCTGTTATCTCAAGTACTCAAGTTTGAATGTAATTATGCAATGTAGAGATATTGGTCATCGTTCGCACTATTATGCAACTATAAAAGCACATATTTCCGTCCCTCTCTGTAGACCTGACACCGATTAAGCGCAGGGCTAGTACACATACTGCAGTCTATTAGCAACAAGCCTAATATACAATCACCCCATTCACTTACCCGAAAGTCCTTATTCTCGTTATCAGTCATATCCAGGAAAGCCCCCGAATGAGTAATCTCCTCCGAATACCCATTCTCAGTAGCCGTCACAGAAGCCGCTCCTTTCTTCCCTTTGTTGCGCCGGACTAGAAGCAGTCGCAGGGCAAGAAGTGTGGCATTCATAACCCCGTAGAGACAGAAGTGTGCCGTGAAGCCCTTCGAATACCGTGGTGCATCAGATGATTGGAAGATCTGTCCATTTTCTGTGAGTTGAGACGGTCTCTTGTAATAGTGACTCAAAGGCTATACCTGTGGTGCGGTCGCATTGCCAGCAGCCCATGCAATGAATGTCATGGCAAGCACGGTCGATTTCTTCGTTTGACCGGCGACATTGCGGGATATCAGAGAGAAGAGCAGGTTTCCTTCGGCCCAGATGAACTGAGTACAGTAGAATGCGATCAACAGACCAACCCGCGTTGAAGGTGTTGGTGCGATGGTGTATATGATAGCCGTGCCGATAATAGGAGGACTTGTTCTGTCAGAGAATATGCCAATAGCTTGAAGAAGGGCAAAGAACTCACATCGTCCACAAGTGCATGATCAAAATCGTTTGATCCGTCCAAGAAGACAGTGAGGCTCCACCTACCATCACCGCGCTGGTAACAGCACCCTGCGCAATGTTTAATAATTGTGTCTGTAACGTGGTGAATCCGAAGCTTTTAATGATGATGTTTGAGAAGACACCCAGACCACCGAGGACTAGTGTGCTGGACACCTGCATCAAGACATAGAGCCAGATAATAGGATCAGCGAGGGCTTCTCGCAGTTGATATTTCTTGTACGTCTTGTTTTGGATGCCCGTTTCGTTGGCCCTGACCCGTTCCACGAGTAAACGCTTTTCGTCTTCAGTAAAACACTTTGCTTTCATAGGGCTGTCGGGAAGATACCAGCCCAGGAACATTGCCCAGACACAGGTCGCACCGCCGAGGACCAGAAAGAGTAGTTGCCACGATTTGATGCCGTGGCCGACGTAGTGACCGGTGCCCCAAGCCATGATGCCTCCTACCTATGTAGTGTTAGGGGTGGAGGAGAAAAGGGGAGGGTGAAAGGGTGAGTACCATCATTTGGACCCCCATCACTAGCATTGTTAGTTGTATGCAATGTGCAAAGAGGAGAGTGGTGCATACTGCAGTTCCATAGGCTGGTTAAGATCGGCTGTTCCTTGCGCGTGTACCACATTGATGTCATTTGAACAAAGATAGGCTGGACGCAGGATTCAAAACATCTTGGGAACGATTAGAGGGGCAATTGAATACACATTAGATAGACTAACCCCAGTAGGAATCGAACAACCATCAACCCGGGGAAGTTGGTGGCAGCTGCACTGCACTGGAATATATCAATCGCTATGATACTAGATAAATTCGAGACTATCAACGTACTGCGATGACCACACCCCAGAGAAATATACTATTCCAGCCAGTCAGTCAGCAGTCTCGTATATAGGACAATCACTTACTTGGCAGCAAGATACTTTGCGACTGGCATTTTTTGAGCCAAGAAGTTGGTCGGATATTCACCCACAACGACTCCGATATATAATATCGTTCCGAGCCAATTGTACTTGTTACTATTCAGCCCTGCATCCTCCTGGATCCCCATAATCGAGCTGAACCCTAGAGTTCCCTTATCAAGCGCTTGGCAGAAGTATGTCTGGACCATTTGGTTAGTGGGTCTTCCTCTCTGTTTTGAATGTTGGAAACGCACTCCAACCATGCACAGAAGAATCCTCTTGTTGACCTTCCAGAACAGTTGCCGATCGGTTGCCTCATCGATTTCGACTGGAGGCCCAGTTGCGTAGACGGCAGTTTCCTCGTCGACACCCGACATAAGCTGGGGCTTCTCGGATGGGTCAATGTGCCCATGCTCGGATGATATGCCTTTACGGTCGGGTTGGATGTCCGCCATAGTGTTGGTGATTCCCGCCGACAATGCGTGGTGTCGTAGGGTAAGATAGAAAATAATAAAGTATATCACTGCAAATTGTACGAAAGATCGCATGTCGTCTCACACTTTAAACCGAAACCATCGTATCACCTGCTCGATATTAACATGATAGCACACGTCCCTTGACTGGCAGTGGAATAATCTGGGGAGAGAGGGAGTCGGGGGTTGGCCGGCAGTTGCTCCGATAATCTAGCATCAGCGCTGCTCCGCCAATTCCTCCGACGCCGTTCAACGCTTGACTGGTTGCATATACAATATAGCAACATAGCATCCAACGAATTCTTTATCCCTTCATTAATTAAATACTGTATATTTATCTTCCTGTGTTTGCGTGATGCATGCACCAGGACTTTGAGGACACCGAACTAGAACTTACAGACCCTTCCCAGCAATATAAAGATGGCCGCGGATACAGGAGTATCAACAAAACGAGCACTAGAGCTATGGGCAAATGGAGCAAGTGTAAGCAAATCGCCATATCACAGGCAACGGGAGACTGCGTCTAATATCTGCAGTCAACAGAAAAGCCGAAAGCAGGATCGATGTCATCAACAAGCCCATGCCCGCTAGTCAAGGCACTATACTCCGAATCAGTTACAGTGAAGCTCTGGAGCGTGGCTAGTAGAGCCCTAGGCAGTGTATCGCCACCGACACTTTACCCTGAATACACCGGCGCAGACGGTGCAACCTACGTCTACCGCACTCTAGATTTCTGGACATCCGGCTTCTTCCCAGGCTCGCTGTACCTCCTCCTCGAACGGCAAACCCGGTACCCAAACTTCTATGGCACACCATGGCAATCAAACAAGGACAGTCCCCTCCCTCACAAATTACAGCTCCAACATCTCTGCCAATGGTGGACAGCCAATCTGCACGCCAACGCCGCAAAGCGCGATACCCACGACCTGGGATTCATGATAGCGCCTTGGGCAATGAAAGCGTGGTCTCTCAATCGCGACCCTCAGGCATACAATAGCCTGATCCTAGCTGCGCATTCACTAGCCAGCCGCTTTGATGAGCGCGTCCAGTCTCTCCGTAGCTGGGATATATGCCATACGAAACTGTACTCCTTCACGAACCCCGAGAAAGATTTCCTCGTGATTATCGATAACATGCTAAACCTCGACCTGTTGTTCTGGGCTGCAAAGGAGACAGGAAACACCAAATTTTACGATATTGCGATAGCTCACGCGCGGACAACAGCCAGGCATCATATACGACCCGATAGCAGTACAGTCCACGTTGTCAACTATGACATGGCGACGGGTTTGCCGAAGTTGAAGTTCACACATCAGGGGTACAGTGATGAGAGCTGTTGGGCGCGCGGGCAGGCGTGGGGAATCCTGGGATTCGCGCAAACCTTCGAGTGGACGGGCGAGGCAGATCTTTTATTGATTGCGCGGCAATTGGCTGATTACTTTATTCGTCGGTTGCCGGTAGATGGAGTGCCGTATTGGGACTTTGATGCCCCCATGGACTCCGCTTGTCCGAGAGATACATCTGCGGGGATGGTGGCGGGCTGTGGGATGTTGTTGATTTTTAAGGCGTTAAGGGGTGTGGATGCGAATGCTGCTGGGTTTTATTTGAGATCGGCCATGAGCATTCTAGCTGGGACAGTGGTTGGCTTTATGACTCCAGGCGATCAAGGATTCTACACTGATTGTTCTGATGCGGTCGCGCCCGTTTATCCTGAGGATATTCCTGAGCATGACAAGAGGCAACCCGGGAGGCTAGGGATTAGAAGCTCGCGTCCGCTGCAAAATGAGGACACTGCTGGTGCAAAATTACCGGAAACAATTCTCGACGGCGCGACAATCAATAACTATCAATTTGCAACGCGCCGGTGGGCAAATCATGGGCTCGTCTATGCGGATTATTATTTCATGCTCATGGGGAATATGCTGCTGGAGATGGGACTGGTCACTGAGTCAAGCGCTACTATTTATGGAGGACATTAATTATAACAAAGATGGTTTGGCATGCATGAAGGGGCCGCAATGCAGTGTGCAATGGGTGTATTGGGAGGAAATTAGAGCTAGGTGCGATATATTAGAGATCGATTTATTGCGTTTGGTCAATTGTGAGGCGTATATGCAACTTCTCAAACTCGGTGGCATTATTCATTGACTCTTCTGTTCCAGGCGGGCGGAATGCTCCCCCATGACGGCTCCATCCACCTCGCTTGCACCATACCGACTGATCCTTTGACCTGGACTGGGCGTCGTCTGCAGGTATCCGGGAGAAGGACAAGCAAACCCAGCGGATAGATGGGCATACGATGGACTGGTCTGACTGTTCCGCACGGACGCGTGCGATGATGCAACCTCAAGAGGTGAATTGTCCAATGCCGAACGGATTTATATCGGGGAAATCCAGGAGAGTCTGCTGGAATGATAAAGGAAGCGGGGGGAACGCCAAGCCAACGGAGGTGTCCGAGTGATTATCTGGTATTGGCACTGGAAAATCCTGATCTGTGTACGTATTGCTTGGTAACATAGCAGTGCGTTCGTGGAGCGTTGGGCTACCTATAATGTCTGCTGCCTTTGGAGGCCCTGTACTTTCAGAGTATGCAGTCTGTCGGATATCCAAGCTAGGTTTTGAGAATGCAGGAAAGTTGTCCCTTGCCTGAAGCAGACGCTTCGCAAAGCCTGAAGCAAGGTTGTCCTTTTGGCTATCTTGCATATCTTGTGGGCCTGCCCATCGGCGAGAGATCTCAAATAGGCTAGCAACTAGCGAGTCTAATGAGGTGGGTATTGGGCTCCCGTAGTATCTAGAGTGCGTTAGGAGCATTCGTCCAGCGATGAAAAGACAGAAGGAAAACTGCGGATTGGTGAGGATGGATGAGCATAGAAGAAACTGGCGGCCGATGATACTAATTTCTGAAGCAGCCTTGAGACAGGTTTCTGCTGAGGATGTGGAAGGTAGTTTGACTGGGCAGGACTGCCAGTGTAAGGGCGGGTAAGCAATCCCTTGATGTAAAAGGATAACAGCCGTGTTGTGCGTGGTATGTGCAAGGGTTAGATTAGGGTCCATGATTCCGTCTGCATTAAGAACGGAAGCGTCACGCCATTTAGGCGGCAGAAAGAGCTTCCATCTGATAACAGTTAGTTGCAGTGACAAAACGAATAAAATAATAACAAGCGCGTACTGAACCATCCGGAGATCCAGCTCCTTAAAGTACATCAGCCAGAGCTGCGTTTTATCCGCGTCCCGGATGTCGAGTGCGTGATGTAGGAAGAAATTTGTGACGAGTGCTAGAGACTCGGTGGCTTCGATGCAGTACGCAAAACCACCGATACAGTCCTGCTCCTTTGAACCAGTCGTCACTCGGCTCTCTGTCAACAAAGCTCGATGGGGACTGGCAGCCTTGGTATCTGATATTCCGAAATAAGGCGGTCGTACTTCGACTTCCTGCTCCCAGAGCGCGCCTTCGCAGGGGAGCCGCCGCTTAACATCTGCGCTGGTCAGGCTGATATTCCAACCCGTGGATACGCTGCAGAAACGATCCATCAGAAAAACCGTCCAGAAGACGCGGCGCCTTTCTTCCGCTTCTCTCCAAGACGTGGATGGCTTTAGAAAAGCCATCCGCCGTATCAGTGTTTCGCCGGACTGTGTATTGCTGGAAAACTGCTCTTCCTCAACGCTCAATTGAAGTTGCTCTACTGTACGAGCCATTCCTCCTACTATTGACCATGAAGATGGACCACGTCCACGGCCGATCTGCAGCGACATTAGATATTATGCAGATGGTCAAGGACACCAAAACCTTACTGTGTCAAATGCAATGATCACTAGAGCCTGAAGATTCTCAACCGAGAATGACTCCATGCCACTTAATAAAACGTGCTGCCTACTTTTCTCTGCCATTTCTGCCTTCTCTACATCGTTTCCAAGTCGTCTATCGTCGGAGAACCGGCTACATAACGCGACAATGGCGTGTAAGATATGAACTGCCCTTTGTCGTCCCTGGTGCGTGTGAATCTGTTCACGAAATTTCCTCACATGTAAGATAGGGATCCAATGATGAATGTTTGCGAAATAGAATTCGACAAGATCTAGCATCAAGTCTGAGTCAAGGATGTCGAAGTGTGTCCCATCCCGCGACAAGGGCTGTGGAGTGGGTACCACGTCCACTTTCCGTCGCTTTGGAGACCGAATATCGCCATCACCATCACCATTCTTCGGTAGCTCCATGGGAAACTCTGCCCCGTCCTCGTTCCGAGCAAGTTGTAACAGGGACCCCTTAATGGCTTCCCGTGCATGACCGAGTTGTCCACTCGGGGTTTCAACGTCATGACCATAATCCCTTGCTACCCCAGGAAAGATAGTATTAGGATGAAGCACTTCCCAAAGCTGCTTCCACAAAATACTCTGTCCGAGGAACATATTCTCTAGCGTATCAATGCGTTGATAGAGCTGGTCTACGGCTCCTGCGCGTAGGCCGGGCTTCAGCCGACGGTCGTCGTAAACGCATCGCACACCGAAGCGCTCGCATTGTGAGCATGGCTGCTCGCGACTACAGCGTGCCTTTTTCTTTCGACAAGACTGGCAAGCGGGGATATCTTCGTCGGGCTTCGATGACTCCTGGTCTTGCGGTTGCTGCTGGGATTGCTGTCGTTGGTCCTGTGTGGACGTTGACCGACCGTTTGCTTTTGGGCGCATTATTGCGGCATTGGCATTGAGATATTTCTAACGAGAACATTCGATTGAAAATCAGGTCCATGTTCCCCACGGGGCAGAGTATTGCATGATTGCAGAGTCGATATTTTTCCCCGCATGACAGGAGGATCTTCGCGCCGGAGGAAGTATCGGAGCCCCTCCGGAGCAAATTATAAGCACGAATTGGCTACTGCAGATCAGTCTCACATTACCGCATTAGGTAATATTCCGGCTGGGCCCCGATGATCTATGCTTTGGCTCAATCTTCCGCCTAAATGGAGGAATCTGAGCTCGAGATGGAACTGAAAAACAAATCAATCTAGTTGAATGCCTAGGCGTCATATCGTAAGACTTCAGTACCTAATCACTGAGAGTGTTGGTATCTTCTACTTATATATATATATATCTCTCTCTAGTCAAAGGACAAATCAAGAGCAGCCCACCCCCCAAACACCTATTGCCCGCTTGTAAAGTTCAATCCATTCACATACTCATTAGCAAACATGGGCACAAAATCGAATGTGTAGTACCATGACGGCTTAGCCATCTCACCGTGGATGAGCTTTTCATTGACCCGCAGGTTGGCAAACGTCACATTCGAGATATTCCGTAGCTGATCATATCCCAAGAGAAGCGAGGGATTGGCATGCGACCCATTGTACACCAGGCCTTTCACGTAAACATTCCGGGTTCCCCTGCCCGGGGACGTGTTATACTTTGAGTTATACATCACGCGAAAATTAAGCAATTGGCCCAAACGGAAGTTCTCGACCCGAACGTCCTCAATTTGAATAGTCCGAATGAAGTCGCTATCACCAGGGTTAATCGCAATGCACCCCTGGTACCAGAGTTGTGGCTCGTGGTGGTCCAGGATGTCGACGTTGCGAATAACGACCCCGTCCATCGTTTCGGGATTATCTGAATTCCCACGGGTTCCGATATTAATCGGATGAGCCCAGTCCGCCCAAAGGGAGGAGATTTGGGTCGTAATGTTTTTCGAGTCGCCGTAGTACTCCCAGAGGTGCTGGTATAGGGCGATATTGTCGTCGGAGTTTCGTAGGAACACGCCATCGACAAGGATATTCTCGCTGTAAAAGAAGTTGATCCCATCGCCATTACCGGTAGAGGACATGGAACGGAGTACGGGAAGAGTGATGTCCTTCGAAGTACCGGTTGTAACAGAGGATCCTTTCGCTCCTAGGATGAGGATGTCCTATACTAGGATATTTCTCGACCATTCTATAAGTATCCCGCCCGTTCTCTTGGGGTTAATCACACCGCGTCCCTGGATTGAACCATTGGTCGCGTTCTGAAATGTAAGTCGGAATGTCACCACAGCGCCGGAAGCGAGATATACAGTCTTACCAGAGGGCATTGCCAGTGTTCCGTTTCCATCAGAGGACCCATTATCGATGCCGGGGCCAAAGTACAGGATGTCGGGATCATGCGGAACAGGAACATCAGTTTCTACTGCGTTGGTGAAGAGTTGTAGAGTATCGAAAATATCGTCATTCACTTGGAGTACTACAATGCGTGGGCGGTTAAGAGTAAAAGTGATCATATTTCCTGTTATGGTGGGCTGAATGTCATAGGAATGTGGCCTAACGATGGCAGATTGAACTGGTGCCTTCTTGTACGTTACAAAAGCATCGACAGACCCGGAGAAATCGAACAATGCAAATGAGGTATTGTGTTCAATCCCTTTCCCGGATGTCGTATTGGCCTCTGAGACAATGGTTCCGTACGATTCAACAGTGTACAGAGGGCTGCTGGACTGTTTAACCTGAACATCGTACGAACTTGCTAGCTCCAGTCCTGCTGGAAATTTGTGTGTCTTGATGCTGCTATTGAGAGTGGATAAGGCATGAACGGCTTGTAAAAAGGCAAGAAGAGCCAATAAAGCCAAAGCCATGATACATGACATGATTCCCATGACCAAGTCGTCCGATACTGACACCCGGATGATATTCCAACCAGACTGCCTTATAAGCTACAATGATATCTTGCAGTCTGAACGTCAAAGTCGCATGCATCACTTATGGTATTCTTCTGTCAGTTCAATCCTCTGACTATGGACTGGAAATGATCCGACAATTGCCCCGTTCCGCCGATGAAGCTGCGCACATTTACAAGCATATGTGTAAACCGACTGGCATGGCCTCCCTCGCCAATGTCAATTCAAGTTATTCACGCGGGCTACTTCTGGGGAGAAAAAGAAGGAAAAAAACCCGAATAAAACAAACACTAGAAAAACGGTAAAGTAAACACAGATTACTAAATATAATATATCATAGAGCGGTACCACCAGATATTAAAAAGCGTCCAGAATTTAGCTACGTCTAAAGGCTACCAGGGCGAAGAGTATAGAAGAGGAAGCCCTAGTGGCATTATAATGTTTAATTCTACTGTCATCGCAGAGTTCCCCTCCCTGCATAACCTCTGCTCGTTTATAGAACTCAGAGCTGAGGACGTAGTCCGTCTAAGATGTTGCAAATCCATGGTTCCACGGTTGAACAAGTAAGCACAATACTCAAAGTATGAGTGGATCATGGAAATGATTTTTTAAGAATATTGACCATAACTTGAGAAAAGGGACCCACAAGATAATCCGTTTGATGTGTGCCTGGAAGGCATATAGACTGGGTAAACAATCCCACAGAATTTGTTGAGCGACAAAGGCGTACTGTCGACATAGTATCGGATCGATGTAAATATGCCAAGAATGACCGTTTCGTACGAAGGGGCAGCTCAAAGGCGCGACCGAAATTTTCCCGACCATGCGGCCATGTACGCCAATCTGATATCACGTTTGATGCATGCAAGGTCGCGTCAGCGGCATGGTAATTCGCCGAAGTGGGGAAGCTGTGATGACGCGAAATAGGGCATTGATGGTCATTCCGTCTTGCAGTCCAATACACAGTCCACCTCTTGGAGAAACCTTCATTTATACTGACAGGTAGATGCCTTGGTCCGACGAAGGAGATCCCTGTGACCTCCATGTCGATTGATACTATCGGCAGTTTTATATTGATCCGTATACGATAACGTTCTTCTCGAGTGTGGGGGTGTCTTGAATTTTCACCATTGATATACATCACGCCGTTCAACTACTAACCTGGCCATTGAATTAAATTTCTTGTCGTCATATGCGCTAAAGTTTTGTCCATAAGCACGCCATTGATTTAATTGGTATTGAGACTCGGGCCGAACCGATCCCGAGTATATTCCCTATAAGCAAAGTCTAAGTATCAAATTACAAGGCTTCTATTCATGTCACGGTTGGAGCTCGTCGCACTCTAAGCTGTACTCGCATATATTCTACACCTTAAATGCCAACTAGCTATTGTTTGTAGCCGTCTAGGGTTGGTCTATGTGCCCCGAACCGTGGACAATCCTAAAGAGCAAGCCTGTCTCCTAGTCTGCGCGCTACTTCCCACATATACGACGCATATCTTGTCGGTTGATCCTTGTTACTTGCCTTTTATCTTCATCGGTAGCTCTCTCCCCCATCTTTTCATTACCTTTATTTGATCTTTTTAATCCATTCATTATTTCTTTCTTTCCCCCTTGGTGCTTATTCGGACCGGGTACGCGAGCCTCAGTGGGATCGTGGGTGTCGCCGTACGTGGGACAATAAAACATCCAAGTTTCACTATAGTAACTCTACTGGGATGATTTATATTTTTCTTTATTTCATTGGTGGCTTATGCCTCTATGTTAGGTAAACTATGATGCGATAAACCATGCTTGATAGCGTGATAGACATCCTTGCCATATTCTGGTGGGTCTACAGGAATCTGGTTTTGCGAACGCCTGCGCCTGAGAAACGGACTGGGATATAATATATTATCCATCTTCCCACATAGTACATGCACCGGTTTTGTCAGAATCGCTGGGTGTGCCTATTTAATCCCCGCCATGGCGTCTGAAACTTCTTCAGATCACATTAAACCCAAAGATGGTCGAGATGATAGCAAGAATGGGCCCACCGTCGAAGCTCGCACGGTAGATTTACGATCATATGGAGGAGCAAATGAGCTTTCAAAACTAGGAGAGGCAACCGAATTGTCACCTGTGGAGGCGTTCAAATGGAATGTTGAAGGGGACGAGTCACCGTGTGGGTAACGTACGGCGAAGATGAAGCTACGGGTAACACGTTAACAGGCGGTGTTGTAGTTCCTGAGGTAGCAGCATGTGTATCTAACAAAGATAATCCGACCATGCTCTGTAACAGTATGCCAACCATCCTCATACCTGTCACGGTCTGCTGACCTCTCTCCAGCTATGCGGGCGTGGATTTTGATTACAATCTTCGTCATTGTGTTTTCTGGTGTCAACCAATTTTTCGGGCTACGATATGTAGGTCTAACGTCCACCGCCGCAACGCGAACTATGCTAATAGTGACTAGCCATCTCTTACCATCGGTTACGTTGTTGCCCAGCTTCTCGTTTATCCTATCGGTCGGGCTTGGGAAAAGCTTCCACGCTGGAGAGTCCCACTGGGAAGACTGTCGTTTGACATCAACCCGGGCAGGTTCACCATCAAAGAACATGCCTTTATTGTGATAGTTAGTTGGCTTTGTCCTTGACATGCTCTTTCCATTCTACATCATTTCTGTTGGCTTACGCGACAATGAAACTATAGTGTGTTAATATTAGCGCCTCCACACCTTATGCTCAAGGCTCATTGATGGCCATCATTCATCCTCGGTTTTGGGGCCGTGATTATGGTGCTGGGTTCTCTTTTCTGTACCTGCTGACAACCCAGATGATTGGGTAGGTAGACTGTGCGCAAAGGAACTTTCCGCTAGTCTTGTATACTAATTCATCTTTTTAAGCTTCGGCCTGGCTGGACTTGCTCGCCGGTGGATTGTCTACCCTGCCGCCCTCATTTGGCCTACGTCCCTTTCATCCACCGTTCTCTTCCGCGCTCTCCACGAACGTGAGGATCATTCCCCTGTAAATGGATGGACTATCACTAGATATAGTTTCTTTGCGTCCTTTACAATTTTTGGATTTGTGCTCTTCTGGTTCCCAGATTATATCTGGACCAGCCTGAGTAGTTTTGCATTCATCACCTGGATCGTGCCTCACAATCAAGTTGTTAACACATTGTTCGGAGTGAGTCCTCTTCACGGCACTGTATAATTTGCGATTTTACCTAATACGAATGGTACAGATGAACTCGGGTTTGGGACTTCTGCCGATTAGTCTCGACTGGACAGAGATTAACTATGCTGGGTTTCCACTCACCACCCCATTCTACATTACATGCAATGCATTCGCTACAATCGTGATATTCTACTTCTTCCTTTCGCCAGTCCTATATTACACGAACGTCTGGAATAGTGCTTAGTGAGTGAATATAGTTCCCCTTGCTTTTTGGTCTAACCCATTCTCTAGCCTTCCGCTTCTATCTTCGGGTACGTTTGATAATACCGGCCAGTCGTATAATATCACACGCGTGGTTGATGCGAATCTAAACTTTGTCGAGAGCAAATACCAATCCTACTCACCGATGTACATCTCGATCGCCTATGCTCTCACGTACGGTCTGGGCTTTGCGGCAGTGACGGCCGTAATCCTGCATACTTATCTCTACAATGGTAGCGAGATCTGGGCTAAATTTAGGAACTCTCGTGCTGGCGGGGAGGACATTCATCGTCGACTGATGCATGCGTACAAGGACGTGCCAGACTGGTGGTATGGGGTGTTGACCGTTGTCGTGCTCGGACTGGGCATTCTCACCGTGCGATACTGGGAGACGGATTTGCCCGTCTGGGGATTCCTCATCGTCTGTTTTGGCATGGGGGTTGTCTTGATTCTCCCGGAAGGGATCCTGCAGGGAACAACTAACCAACGAGTGTTTCTGAATATCATTACCGAGCTTATCGCGGGATATGCGTGGCCCGGCAGCGCTATCGCAAACACCATGGTCAAGTGTTATGGTTATAACTCGATTAAACATGCGATGGACTTTGCACAGGACCTCAAAATGGGGCAGTATATGGTGCGTGTGTATCCCATATGATTTTTTTTTTCGTGATACTAACGAGTTCCTCATGCAGAAAATCCCGCCTCGGACTCTTTTTGCCGGTCAGATCTATGCATCTATTATTGCAACTATGACGCAAACTGGAGGTGCGCTTCACCAGCCTCTTTGATATCAGGAATTGGCAAACTGACTTGAGATTGTCAGTGCTGCGCTGGATGCTAGGACATATCTCTGGACTTTGCGATCCTAAGAACCCGAATCGCTTCACATGCAACGGGTCCAAGGTTATGTACAACTCTTCCATCATTTGGGGAACGATCGGCCCACAAAGGCTGTTCCAGAGCGGACAGGTATACAACGCGCTCATGTACTTCTTCTTACTTGGAGTACGTTAGCACTTGATTGACACATCTACTACTTCGATAGTGAAAAGCTAATACCATTCAGCCCGTGGTCACTGTCATAGTATATGTTCTGTACCGGCGTTATCCCAATAGCTGGCTGAAGTATGTGAATGTACCCATCTTCTTCAATGCTGCCGGCAATATTCCCCCTGCTACTACGAGTGAGTGGTCCACTCTGTTACCTTTGCTATATGAGACTAACCGACATAGCGCAATACTCTCTCTGGTTTATTGTCGGCTTTATTTTCAACTTTTGGATTCGCCGACGCGCCTTCCAGTGGTGGAAGCGATACAATTGTGAGTTCCTTCATCTCGCATTGTCCCATGAATACTAAATAACGCGACCAGACCTGCTCCAAGCTGCCATGGATACGGGTACTGCTCTTGCGACAATTATCATATTCTTTGCCCTGAGCTACACTGGCACCAAGCTTAATTGGTGGGGCAATACGGTTGGATCGAATACCTATGATTCTCAATCTGTTCCGTACTTGACCGTGTCGAAGGGAGGCCATTTTGGTGCGGGGCCAGGGGAGTTCAAGTAGAGAGTTGAAATAATTTCCGTTGGCATCGATAGAGCCCATGCAAGGACTTTCTGTGTGAGCTTGTCGGGTCATGTCGATATGTTATTTAACGTTGACTAGACTTCCAAGTTGTATGTATTTACGTTAATACTTCAGTTTAGTTCAAAGAAACTAGTTAGGTTTAATCTAATCACGAGGTGCAGCAAGACTAGTCTCGGTTTCGATGGCCATGAGAGGGGCGGTTTTCTTCGCTGTTTCCCTGCATATCGTCTCGGCCTCGTACATCCCCTGGCGCATTTGCGTGAATTGCTTGCTGAATGCTCTGCATGACAGTTCTCTTACCCTTCGGCTGTGATTTACCTTGCCCGATCCCATAATGCCCCCCCCGACAGCCGGACATACGATGACTACACGGTGGGGTAGATCTATGCGTTACACATCACCTGACATAAAGGCAAGACAACGAAAGCAAACACCACCAGATCAGGCAAGCATTGCGAAGGGAATTAATTGCCTTGGGCATGGCGTGGTATTGTTGACACCACCACGCTTGTTGCCAACACTGACTCGTGGTCTAACTATCCAGGCTATCTTCGACACAGTGCGGAGTATGGCAAGAGTTGCGATGTTATGTTTAATTCTGCTCCGGATGCTGCGTACGGATCTCATGTTATCGAGAGTTAAATATCTCCACGTTGAAGCCCCAATGGTCTCAGTATAGCGTGCGTGTTGTTAAACGATCACTACTTGTCTAGCGGTGTTCACATTCCTTGGATATCCTCTTTGGCTAATCAAGACGAGGCCTTTGTCCCGCTGGCCAAGCTGTCAAGCTTTGCCAAAGTTCATGGTAAGACTATCGAATATTCTCAACTGAGAAAAACCACCCGGATCGGAAACGCTTAGCGATCGATCATTGTGAAATGGCGTCACACAATTTCAACGTCGCGATTATCGGGGCTGGCCCGGTGGGCTGTCTACTTGCTCGCCTGCTCTTCAACATCCCAGGCGTGCGGGTGGCGATTTACGAAGCAGAGACATCGCCGCACTGTCGAGGACAAGGCGGGACGCTCGACTTGCATGACCAATCCGGCATTGCGGCGCTAAAGAAGGCGGGGCTCTACAATGACTTTCTTCGCCACGCTCGCTTTGACGGAGAGGCCTTGTTCCTGTGCGACAAAAAGCTAACCGGATATGTGCAGTTTGCAAATCGAGGATCGGTCAGCAGCAGCCGTGGTAGCCCGGAGATCGACCGAGTAACGCTTCGCCAAATATTACTTAATAGCCTGCCACCGGACACAGTACACTGGGGTTGCAAACTTCTGAGAGTGTTAGATGGAACCGTGCTCCAATTTGAGCACGGCACTGAACAGGGATTCGATCTGATCGTGGGCGCAGACGGCGCCTGGAGCAGAGTCCGTCGCTTTCTAACACCCGACCAGCCGTCATTCTGCGGTATCTATGGCCACCTTTTCACCATCCCTGATGCAGCTCACACCGCTCCAAACGTTTCCAAACTGGTCAACCGGGGCTCCCTTTATGCGTATTCCGACGGGAAGTCACTCATGGGACAACAGATCGGGGATGGTAGTATCCAGGTGTCTGTGTGGACGACCGCAAGCCAAGACGATGATGCACTATCGTACGTGGATGATGACAGCCGGCGCCGCCAGATTGCCAGTCAATTCAGTGACTGGGCGCCGGAGCTCCTCGAGCTCTTGGCGACCGGTAGCGAATACACAGGGAATCGACGCATTTACACGCTTCCGGTTGGGTTCCAGTGGCCGGGTTTTCCGAGCATAACCTTGGTTGGCGATGCAGCCCATCTCATGCCTCCGTTTGCTGGGGAAGGCGTGAATTTGGGGTTTGAGGACGTGATGAACCTTTCTGACGCTATTCGCGGCTTCCTGGACAGCCCAAATGGTACCCTCGACGAGACGCTGCGTACCTACGAGAAAGACGCTTTTCAGAGAGCGCGACGGGGTCAGGAGTTGAGTGTGGGTGTAATGCGCGATATGTTCTTTACCGCTGGAGCACCACGTGCGGTGATCGAACGGTGGATGCTCCGAATCATACGCTATCGGGCTCATCCGTGGGTGTTCCGGATATTCTATCCGTCCATTGCTGCGGGCGTTTACGGCTTCTATTTCCTGTTTAAACTATTTCGCTAGATTCGTTCATCTGTATATGTTTGTGCTTTCTTAGCGTCGAGCATTACTACTGGCTTCCGGAGGTCACTGTTCCTTTTGCATTTCCCCGTTAGAATATTATATGCACGGACAATATACCGCATTCAGCCGAGACAACTCAGGAGGGAACTCGTCGCCTTGCAGCAAGAGTAAGATGTTTCCATCTTGGCAGAGGATCGGCGAGAGATTGTGAGCCATTCCACGTAAGATTTCAAGTCGACATTAGAGTCCCAAATAAAATCCCCCTTGCCTCCCACTTCGCATTACTTCGCTGGTCGGTGAATGCAGCGGACGGACTTCCTTCCAAATGTTTCCGACTCAGTACTGAGGTTGATTTCTTTTCTTTGGTTTGTGCCGTGGGTCACTCATCATCTTCAGGAATCATGTCGCCATTGCGGGTTTCTCCACCCATGTCGTGCGACGCCAAGACAAAGCTAGGATAGATATAAGAGTGATTCAATGCTCCTCTTTCGTGATTTTAAGCTGGTGGGCACTTAGTGCTGCAATTTACTATACGAATCGTAGGCTGCGTTGCCAATCACATCATCGCCACCAACAATGGCATACTGTTAGGGTTACATCCTAGCCTTTTTACCTTGCATGAGTAGACCACGAGTTAATGTATCCCTCCCCCACCACCACCATTGCAAGAGGCTATATATACTTACCGATACGTATTCTCAGCCGTAGGAAGGCGACTCGGAGTTTCTTTCGGTGTAGTCGCTACCAAGCATTTCAATCGGATGGGTCAGTTCCAACTGTTTATCAGAAGCGAGCCTGAATTAACCCAGTTTTAGCTCCCCAGGACTCACTAGTCACGAACTCCCTGAGTGGAGATAAGAAACCGCCGATCACTGTCTTCGACGAGGAAAAAGCCTCGCCTACCTCGACCGAGGCCGTCTATGATGCCGACCAATATCTGGGTCAAGCGCCCACTGAAGAAGAGCTGAATACCCTCCGGAAGGTCCCCGGCCCTGTCTCGGGATCTGGATATTGGTTATGCACCGTTGAATTCGCAGAACGTGCATCCTATTATGGTTGTACTTGGGTCTTCCAGAATTTCATTCAGTATCCTCTCCCGCCAGGCGGCAATGGCGCAGGAGCATCGGCCCCCGGGTCGGAAAAGCCAGCGGGCGCATTGGGTCAAGGATTACAGATCTCGTCGGCACTCACATTGCTGTTCAAGTTCCTGGCGTACTGTATTCCCATCTTCGGCGGTTGGTTAGCAGACTCAAAGCTCGGTCGCTATAAGACAATTTGTATCGGTGTAGTTATTTGTGGAGTTGCGCATATTATCATGGTGGTCGGTGCGATTCCGAGCATCTTACAGGCTGGCCATGGCATGGCTCCTTTTATTGTCAGCTTGATGATTCTCGCAATAGGAGCTGGTATGGATCTCAACCTTGTTTACCGTGTCCAATGGAGACTGACGAATTCAATAGGAATCTTCAAACCGAATATTTCCCCGACCGTGATGGAACAAGTCACATTTAAGCACCCCTTTATCAAGACCCTGAAGTCCGGTGAAAGGGTCATTGTCGATCCAGAAACTACGATCCAGCGATTGACTCTCACATTCTACGGTAGGCTTATATGAACCTGTCTCTACAAAGGTGTTGATGACACTTTGGCATAGACTAATCTGATCGCTATCCTGGCAGCTCTAATCAACGTGGGTGCCTTCTTCGGACTGGCGACAAGTTACTCTGCGAAGCGCGTCGGATACTGGTTGGCCTACTTGCTTCCCGGCATTATTTACTTCTTGATGCCGATCATCCTTGCACTGGTCTACAAGAGAACGATCAAGTCACCCCCGCAAGGCAATATCCTGGGTGACACCCTACGCGTAATCAAGCTAGCAATCAGAGAGAACGGCTTCAGCAAGTTCGGATCGAGGGCTTATTTCGACTCTGTGAAGCCATCAGCACTTGCAAGCCGAGGCGTCGCATCCTACAATGGGAAGCCAATCAACTGGAGCGACGGGTTCGTAGACGATGTGCGACGCACCCTCGTAGCCTGTCAGATCTTCTGCTTCTACCCAATTTACTACCTGAACAATGGAGGAATCGGAAGCATAACCAACTCCCAAGCCGGATCAATGACCACAAAAGGCGCCCCAAACGACCTGGTCAGCAACTTCAACCCACTCACCATTATCATCGCCTCCCCAATCCTAAACTACGTCGTGTACCCATTTCTCCGTCGACACCGCATCGAATTCGGCCCCATCAAACGAATCACCCTGGGCTTCATACTAGCCGCCCTAAGCTGTGTCATCGGCGCCCTCCTCCAATGGCGTGTATATGAAACCTCTCCATGCGGCTACCACGCAACAGAATGCGACATCGGCAGCGGCGTATCCCCCCTCTCCGTCTGGGCCCAGATCCCCATGTACGTCCTGCAAGCCCTGTCGGAACTCTTCGCCGTCGTCAGCGGCTACGAGCTGTCGTTCTCGCGGTCCCCGAGAAGTATGCGCGCTTTGGTCGTCGCTCTCTTCCTCTTCATGTCGGCCCTCTCGTCTGCCATCAGTCAGGCAGTTATCCCGGCGTTGGTCGATCCGCATCTCATCTGGCCATTTGTGGGGACGGCGGTTCCGGGGGTGCTTCTTGCGGTGGTGTTTTATTGGATGTATCGAGATCTAGATAAGGAGGCGTTCTTGCGGGAGGATTCGGATATTCAGAGGGATATTTTGTCAGAAAACGAAAAGGAGACGAAGTGATGTTAGTGCATGACTTTGGGATGGGCTTGGAGTAAGGTGGTATTTTGGCAGGCCAAGTTTCATGATGGATGGGTATGGCTTCTCTGCTGTCTTTGTTGGCAGTATTTCAGCATAGCGAAATATTAATGTATGAATTTTATTATTCGACATTAGCTACATATCGGCAATGGACTAATCCCTGCGTCTTTATTCATGTTAGTTATATCTCTACCGAAGGTATGGAGAATGGCGAAAAGGCATATATGGAGGAGCCATATAGCTATGATATGATAATAAACAATTGATAAGTAGACCTCCAAGCCAGATGAAGGGAGGACAGACCGACAGAAGAAATGGGGAGACGTGCGGTCCACCGATTATGCCATGTGACCATTAACGTCCAGACCTCTAGACGAACACAAGGACGAATCACTCAGAATCATTTTCAGATATGCGAAGGGGAGTATGAACAGACACCAAAGTTGATGCTCGTCAATTGGGGTATTCATTTAGTGCTAGTTTGCGCTGACGCTGGCGTATTGAAACTAAAGGATATACAGTCTACCTCACCATTCGGAAAGTAAGGATAGGTCGAGGGTCCGCTCCTCTACCACTGTTAACACTTTCCAAGAACCTTCTACGTAGGCGGGCCTGACCACCAAACCGTGAGGAGTGGCTTCCGAGAAAGTCGATCTGCATGCTACACAGATCTGGAACCATGATGACGAGATAGCGCCGTCTGCGTTCTGAGGGATGGGCGGAGTCGATCTCTATGTGCAACGTCGAGTCCTATGTCGAGTCTAATCCCCGCTACTTGGTCACCGATACGCCCGCATCATCTAGTGCCTCTGTGAGAAAATTTTCTAGTGGATAAGGAGATTGACTTCGATCTAGAACGCTGAAAGTATTGGTGTGGCAAGTTTGATAGCTTCCGGAGAGTTTTCTGAGACATCATTTCCGTCTACGTTCGCAGTTGGAAATGCCCGAAACGGAATCACAGAGTCAACCTATCTTCATGGTTCTCTGGCCACCCAGTGTAACATTACCTTAGTCTATGACCAAATCCTTCAACCTACAACCCCAGTTTGGGGAGGTATGAGGCGGATGCTGCGGAGCAAGACTCCTGCCATTTGAACCAGCTCATGGAGCCCAGCCAGTCAGCACGAGTACCATCGACTAACATGCTCTGACATGCGCCACTTTTCACGACCTTGTTTCCATAAAATGTAATCCCTTGCCTAAAGCAGATTCTTCACAACCTCCGGATGGGGAAGAAGATGTCATTTTATCCACCTCAGCCAGCCGATGCATACCATGACATCTGACCGTAACCTAGAACGCTTCCCACACTTCCGATCCTGGACAGACCTATTCACTTGGACGGTCACGACCAGCTCTAGACCACGATCTGATTTTTGGAAGCAGCAAAGTCCGGAGGTAATGTAACCGCGAAGCCATGGTTACCGTCGTTCATCCTTGGGATATGATATGGCGAGCATGGAACAGAGCAGCTTGTATCATCGGGAATTGCGTCAGACTTGCTGGCTGGACCTTTAACGACGCCTTTGTCTGTAGTATTGGGGATGGTGTACGACGTCAACGAGTGTTCGATTGAGGGAGTCGATATCCACATCGGATCGAAGTTGAGGGAGGATGTTCGAACATTTAAGGAGCTATCTTCAGGACTCAATTGAATATCCATCCTCACAATTAAGAGAACTTCAAGCAATATTTCTCCAAAGGAAATTCAAAACAACCAGGCCATTATCCCTAGTCTTCATTATGCCTTCCACCATCAGACAGAACGGCCCAGCCTATGTCACCAAGCCCGTCAAGGCTGGAAAGACCGACAAAAAAGACCCCAGTGTCTGCGGCCCGCTCTTCGTGGCAGCCATGAACGGTGAAGTGGACCAGATCGACAATATCCTCCAGCAGGACCCCAAGAAGGTTGACGAGAAATGTGACGAATGCGACGGGTACACTCCCGTTATTGTCGCAGCCATCTATGGCCAACTCAAAGCCGTGGAACGTCTCTGCCGCAAGTGGAATGCCAATGTCGAGATCCGCGATGCCAACAGCTACACCATCGTCAAGCTTGCCCTCGACCAAAACCATGGGGACATCGTCGACTGGCTGATCAAGGAGTACCCCAAGATGATCATCACGGACCCACGTCATCCAAAGGGAGCGGAATGGCTGACCGCCCAATTCTGGAAGATGTGGAACAATATCGAGGAGGAGGCTAGCAAGCCTCCAAAGGACGTGTTGGACCAGCTTCTCAAAGGCCAGCTGAAGCCCGATACTGATCGGACTGTTTCGGAAGTCTACTGGGAGCACATCCTGCTTCGATACATCGGTGATGTGCCCCTGGATATTAACCGGAACTACTCCACAAACTTAAGGATGGCATTTTGTGGAACCTTTGATCGCACCTTACACGGTCATGAGGGTATCAGAGAGTCTGCTAGATTGCTCAATTTGGTGTTGCCGACGACCCAGTATAACATCATCGGCACGCATGTGGCTCCCAAGGGCCAGTGGGTGACTGAACGTTGGGAGTACCATAATTATAAGGACAATCTTCAGGTCCTGGATGGAATTGACACTTTCCTGATTAATGAGGATGAGGGCAAGATTGAGGTGATGTTGATCAACTATAATGTCTATAACTTGGAGTGGATTGATGATCCGGAGCGCCCTCGCCCGAACACACGAGTTTGATTCACTGCAGTCCCTCAGGGCTAGAGTTGCCCGATATGGATGTGCGCTGTGTCATATTCTGCGTTGGGCTGAGAATGGTTTGGAAAAGTTTTTTTAAAAAAAAAAAGATTTATTTGTTGATTTGTGTTAGTTTTATCTCGTGACCTAGGGGGTTACTTGATGTTTTGTTAAGAGTTGTCAGACAAAAAACACCAAAAAATAGGAAAAAAAAATATTGTTGTAGTATGAGTGTCAAAGGTCTAATTCCCAGCCCGCGTAGATATACATAGGCAAATTATGACTGTAATGCATTATGACCCATCACCTTTAATAAGTTTGGGGAATTATCAAAAGGAAGTCTCATGATTTCTAAGTAGGAAGGTTGGATAAATATAGTAGGCGGTTTGCTCTTTCTGACGGCAGGATCTTTTAGACCTGCCAACCACATGATCTGCCTGGCCTGACATTACTGGCTGATTCTCTAGCTCCGTTTTTCCGCTTTCCTATATAGTACTAGCATACTAGCACCGGAAGCTAGCCCGATCAGGTTAAAGGGAGGCCCTTTTAACAATTCCTCAAATTTGACCAGACGCTCTATCGAATGAAACATTGTCTTTCCTTGATTTTATTTACATCGTAAGATACACGAATTTCGAGGCGCTCTTCATTGATGTAATGCAAACTACATATCACAATTGTTTATATAGTCCCCAATGCATCCCTCAAAGCCTACAACCTCGACTGATCCCCCGGTTTGCTCCCCACGCAGCATGACGTGGAAAAGGCATTGCGGGACATAGTATCAACGCAGACCGACGACGGAGGGACCCAGAGGCCGGGATTCTTCTGGAAAAAGTTCGACGCTCTCAACATCACACTCACAGGCTCAGCCGGCATAATAGGGAAGTCTTCCGTTCGCGGGAAATGAGTCAAGCCGAACTGGATGTAACAGACAATATCCGTATTCTCGATCGATTCGTTTCGCTGCGCCCAGTCAAGAACTGTCTGGTTATCCGCATGGTTTTCCCGACCTGTCGACTGGCATACATAGTCTCCTGCGGGAAATATTTCATAGTCTCTGTAGGGAACAACCCACAACGGCTTGCGGGCGAATGCGGCACGCTTGTAGACGATGCTACCTGGTTTGGCTAACAATGGTGGGCATGATGTGTTGAGGATTTTGAAAGCAACGGGCTTTTTAGCAGATGGATTGATGGAGCTTGGATTGACGATGTCCCACGTTCGGTTGGTTTCGTAGCAGTACTCTGCGGCACCTTCGAGTGATGTGCGCAATGGCGTCTTCTTGCTGTAGAATCCGTTGCCGTAAAAGTTTTGAGTTGATCCTACCGGATGATCGGACGGAACAGCGTCACTCTGAATGACTGAGTTGTTCGGCCCGTCCACTTCTGGGTCGATACGCAATGAGAAGATGTGCTGGTGATTCTGGGCGTTGATTTGCGGCGCCACCTCCGTGCCGTACGGCGCGGCTTGTTCGGTGGGATGCATGGGATACGTATTTAGCATGCCAGTGAGCTTCATTTCCAGCTTGTAAGTACCGTCCAGGGTGAAGGTATGGTAGAATCCATATTCGTAGTTAGCTGCAGTGATGATTTGAGAGATAATGAGCTTCCGATCGCGCGCTGAGATCACCGTGCCGTCCCGATAATCTGTGTGCTTATACAGGAGACCATTGTCCTCTTCATGAATACATATCGCGTTCTTAACGACCGCCGCCTCGCCACTTCCAAGGGCCATCACTCCGTCCAGGTAATGAATGGTTCCCTTGCAATCGCAGCCCAACTTCAAAGAGTTGCTCATGAATCCGGTTCCGTACTCGCCCACATCAAATGCATGCTTTCTGTGGTGCGGCTTGTCGGGACAGCCGTAAGGCACCACCATCTCAACCACGCTGATCCGGTTGAACAACGTTCGTTCACGGTCTTGGTAAGGATCATGAGCACGAACGTCTGAAATGACGATACCCTCTCGGTAGTTGAATCCGACGTGCATCTTGTAACCTGCCCAAGAAAGCTCATTCCCCTTCATCTGGAAGGATACCCCTTGCGGCTGTACGATATCAATAGGTTTCAGACGGTCATGGTTGTACTTATCTCCGATAAAGTGCGGAAGATAGTTGTGCTCCGTAAGTGGCACTGCTGTTCGTTCTCCATTCACGTAACGAATATCGACACTGAGAATCTCCTCTCGCTCGGTGTCGGCAATAACCGAAAAGTCCAAAGGGTGAGCATATTGGTTGTCGAACTCCGAATTCCGGTAATACGCAAGACCCTGTTGCAAGCGTCGCTCAAAGCCCCATCGCTCCTCAAAGCCGATTGCCCATGCATCAAAGTAAACCTTAGACATGTCGGTGATGCCGATGCCCTTGCAAGCCTCGATAACGCGAGAGTCTTTGCGTGCAATGCCCTCCAGTATATCGAGGTCCTCGAGGGTGAGAGTGGGCATGACATCATTGACTTCCTTCCACTCTTCTACCTTGGAGTTGGTCAGGTTGACGACTGCTTCGGCAATCTTCCCCGACTCCCGGTCAAGGACAATGGAGAACGCGCGACGGTCCGGACGTGGTCCCTTCCCCTGTTTGAAGGCAACATATTCTTGCTTTCGTGGTTCTCGCAAGGTGATGCAGTTGAATTTGAGAGACTTCGGGCTGGCGTACTCGCGGAGCAATGCTGCCGCGACTGGGATCTCAGCAATAGAGAGTTGGTCTGTTACACGGTTAATGATCGGATTCAGTTTAAGTATTGTGGGCAATCATACCAAGTGGGTGAGGGATTCCTTGACGGATCAGGGCGGCTGCCGCAGCACTGTCGTAGTCTCCCTTACGAAATATCGTGTAACCTGGGATTGAAGTTGTGTCTGGAGCCATGGTGTATTCTGTGTCGTTGTACAGGGTAGTAGAGAACCAAAGCAAGTTCTATCCGGAGTGGAATTGACCTTTATATAGCCTTCCGGACGAAGGTGACGTCCTACGATCGCGTGAAGTTTCCCAATAGAGAAACTGAGGTCTCGATCCATGATGTTAAGAGAAGTTCGCCTGAAGTGACTAACACTGTTCTGGCAGTCCTAGTTTCGGGTCTGATAACTGTGGAGGAAGGACCTAGTGTGACATCTAGAATTTTGATCTCACACTTCCTCATTGTACATTATGGGATGAACGGCCAATCATGGTGGATATGCCAACCCACAATCCGTAAGTCGGGGGAGAACCCTGGATGAGCCAGGACTTGCCCCATTCAGCGACGATACTAACCTCGAATAGAGGAAATGATATGATGGATATTGACTGTGGTGGAGCAAGCAGTATTGTCGTAGATTCTTTTTCCCTTGTTGACTATAAGCTCTACCCAACTCAAACTGGACGTTATAGTAGATGATGTTATCTCGATATCTATTACTGAACCGTGAAAACGCTATTAGGATAAACATTAAACCTGTAATGTCGGCAAATAAAGGGGATCGTGAACCCCTGGTACCATGCATGCATGAGAACGAAAATATCCCCAGAACACGGCCAATTCAAATTCGTACTGAACCATGGCAACGGTGCCATGTGGGCATTCTTTCAAGATTAAGTAACAGCATCTCCGTTGTGCCATTCCCCCTCTAGCAAGTCCATCCGAATGGCGCAACTTGGCGTCTCGATAATCAAGGGCCGTTGGTGGAGACTTTCGCGGAATTGGTAGCGATTGGTTGGTTAACGAAAGGCATGTCGGCATCTTGATATTGATAGAAACGTTGTGAAGGGACCGTGCGGGATTCTTGGCTTTTGGTTGCTGAGTAAGCACCTCGGCAAGCATCCCCAGGCACCAACTTAGACCTCAGCGACCAATTTCTTGCTAATATCAGAGACCTGTCTTCGCGACTCATAACCATTGTCTGTTTAATCACCACATTTTATCTAAACCAAACGTCATGCTGCATAAATCGGTTATCTATAAAGGCCACCCGCGTGTCTCTCCACCCTCATCGTTAGAATCCGATCTCAGAAGGTGGTAATATCGATCAAAGGTTGCCGTACTGATTTGTATTCAACATCTCAAGGTCTGCACCATTATCCACCTTTCTAGAAGATACAACCTTGCTCGGGTGCCACCAATTGAGGATGATACAGCAAGCTAACATTAACGCGGCATCGAAAATGTAAATGAAGGCCTCCTTACTCTGGAGATAGCCACTGGTGCCTTGCACGTACTCGGCCACCCGGTAGATCGATCGGATCATAACTAGTATACTGGCCGAGTAGAGGACCTTCATGTACTGATTCCAAGGAACCTCCATGGCCACCATGTGATGCATAGGAGTGCTGAGCATGCGACGATGGAATACTACCGAAACGACAATGAAGAATCCGAAGAAGATAATTTGGATAAACAGGCCCCCGATGATCATGTTTTCTCCTAGCTTCACTGAGGCCTGAGACGTGGCTTTAGCCAGCATGCCGCCTCCTGTATACTATTATCAGCAACCTCCTTCTTTGTCTCTCGCTCAGGGTTGGCATACCGCCGCTTTGTACGAGGAAGGACAACACATCGCCGGTAACGAAGATCTTGGTTAGCCACGACGGGCGGATCAGGGAAACAGAGCCGGCGTTTAGCATTCGGATAATGCGTCCAAGGATCATGTATATGGATGCGGCGAAGAGGGCCGGTGCCAGAAGGAGGAGTAGGCTCTGCCCAATGTATGGCTTCATTGTCCAATCTGGTGTTTCGGTAGAACTGATATATCTACATAGGTAGCCGATCGCTTCAACTATATCGGGCAGCATGCGCGTTAGCAGGCCAGTATAATGTGTAAATGCAAATAGTGAATGGGCTAAACACACATATCCCACCAATGACGAATGGCGTGAGGTACCAGGTTCTTGCCCGGACCATCTGCCAGATGTGTATAACGGTCGTGAGTCCAAAGACAGCAGCAAAGCTAACTGCTGCGCCTCCAGAAGGTTCATAATGATAGTATTGGTATCCCATGGTTCTGTTTGGGTAGGAGGAGGACGTTGGTGCCTCTCCGATAGGCTATGCGCGGTTCCAGGGGAGACAAAATTGAAGCTCAGTGGCAATTCAACATGTACAATGTTAGGTGGGAAGTGGGATAGAATATATGAGGGGACAACAACAATACCAACCAAGTCTGGTGCACTGCTTCGATGTCCTGATCCGTTTTGTTTACTCTAAATTTGGGTATTCGTTGAACCATAGACCACGCCGAGAAAAATGGGACCGACCCAGCGGAAGACGTTTAGTTTAGTCCTACTTTACCAGAACCGGTGCTCAGTACGAAGTACGATAAGCTCATTAACATCTCCACCTACCTTGGTTAAGCCACTGGTAATTTCGAAGCAATGGATATCACCAGCAATCCAATAAGGGAGCCGTGAGCTCCGGGCATTGGAGGCACTGCCACTCATCTATTTGATCTCGATTTAACCTCCCCCAACCAAGCCACAGATTTTTCATTACCTTGTACTGATTGCTTGTCTCAAGAAGAGACCCACGTGTAGATTTTGCTGATGAGGCTAGCAGCTCACACTACGAATTGCCGGAACCTTGTAGATTTCCAAATAGGAGCAGATACTATATAGACATATATCCAGATTACCTACCTAGAAAAGACCTCTCCAGTAGCAGATCATGCGTGTATACTTCTCCCTCGGCAGTCTATGCATTTACACTGTCATTAGTCTACCAGTTCCTTTCCAATACATCCCAAGACTGGGAATGTCTGTTCAGACCAAGAAAGAAAAAATGTTTTTGGCTCTGGTGGCAATTCAGGGACCGAGCGCCTAACGTCCGCTTCAATGGGTAAAGAATACGAGAACGGGAGATGGTGTGGGTCACATAGAAATTAAGCCCACTAGGTAGGTGATCCGTTCCGCGTAAAGAAGCACAGCGGTGATAACTATATTTTCGTTCCTATTACCTTGCTAGGAACGAAATTTGCTCCATATTGGATGCTATTTAAAGTGCCCCCTTCTCCCCCGCTGGGAGCTAGGGCATTATCAGACACTATCAAAGACCACCACACCTTAGGTCAATCTTCGTCTCACGAACCAACCATCTCAAAATGGAGTTCACGTTTTACTACTACACACCTTCCGCTGCGGCGGGCGGTATATTCGTCGCACTCTTTGGCTTGGCTACCATACTTCATCTCTATCAACTACTCCGCACCAGGACATGGTTCATGATCCCCTTTGCTATCGGCGGAATTCGTAAGTTGTGACCTCAAGAGCACGGGCTGAGCCAGGCTGACTTCTCTCCAGTCGAGACAATCGGTTATGTTGGTCGTGCATTATCATCAAAAGAAGCCCCAAACTTCACCAAGGGTCCCTATGTCATGCAAAGCGCCCTTATTCTCATCGCCCCCGCGTTTCTCGCAGCTAGTATCTACATGACCCTCGGCCGCATCATCGCCATGCTCCAGGCAGAGAGATACTCGGTCATTCCCCTCCGGTGGCTTACAAAAATCTTCGTTGCAGGCGATGTGCTATCCTTCTTGATGCAAGCATCTGGTACGTTGACCATATTGGGTCTAATCCATGTGGCCCACGGCATTACTCAGAGTCAAGGCTAAAGATCTCCAGGCGCCGGCATCATGGTCAAAGACTCCACCGATCCGGCCACAGGAGAACACATAATCATTGGTGGTCTCTTCGTGCAGATTATCTTCTTCGGGTTCTTCGTGATTACTGCAATTGTTTTCGAGCTCCGCATGGCCAAGAAGCGTATCGGCGCTTCTGCCGAGCTGGGTCGCATTTGGCGCCGACACATGATTGCGCTCTATGTGACTAGTTTGCTGGTCTTGGTCCGGTCCATCGTCCGAGTGGTGGAGTACTTGGATGGATATGATGGATACCTTATGAAACACGAGGTCTTCATCTATGTCTTCGACGCCTTGCTGATGTTCATAGCGATGCTGGTCCTCAGCTATATTCACCCCAGTCAGGTCAACTCTCTCTTGGATCGTGGAGAACAATATTTCGAGAACTTTCTCGTGAGGCGCAAATTTGCTCCTACCAGTACGGTTGAAATGGTGGTCGACAGCCAGGCCTAAAGACATAAACCTATTTAATGTCTTCATGAGTCATGTCTTTCTATGACAGCTTTCATTTGTAAGGGTTGATACCATTATTTATACACATGTCGGGGCGCATACTTGTTTGTCTACCTTTTTGTATCTATTCTTGCTACTATTGTATGGCCAATTAACTCCCTACCATCTCGGAGGAGCCAGTTTATATTCCAAGACCAAAATTCGTTAATATTGGACAGCTCTTCGGTCCGTTAACATCGTAATTGCAAAATTGAACCTGAGTATTACACTTCAAGCCAGGCCCCAATATCCTGCAGTTTTCCAGTTTTTTCTTGAATAGCACCTCTGATCTATAAGATATAGCGATAAAATTAAAATACTGTTGCGTAACACTAAGCTTTCAATATCTCAATATCTTAAAATGCTCTCATATTTTGGCCAAAAACTAATATTTTCGAATTGATATTTGAAGGAACTCTACACGTTCTGATAGAGTTTAAATATACATCGTACTTATTATTTTGTCAGGGTCCGTTATGTATTTATGTTACTTGTAATACACGACAGGATAGGCAGAATTACACAATGCTTTTTATCCTTGAAAAATGCCCTAAAATTCTATTGTTCGAATGGAAAATGGGGTGAGTTATGGGTGTATTCCATACGCCAATTTGGAGACGAGGTTCCATGACGAACAGCAGATTTCCTTTCGTCACATTTTTTTAACCCAGTTCTCTATGGCAAGAATTGGCCCGCTACGTCCATTGCTTATGTCTAAGGAAGGTCGCTAGAACTACTTCCCTGTACATCCCCTCTTGGATGACAGATTCTGCAAACGGTACTGATATAGAATAGCAAATTTTTAATGACAACTAGAATTCTTAGTAGAAGAATAGGCTTTCATCTATGAAATACGGTGAAGTAAGGCTAAGGAACTGTCGTGTCTGGTGGGTGGGCCTCATCCCCGCTGTCTTTAACACGGAGACTTGTTGGCAGTTGCTTCGGGCAGAGTGCCATGTTGCTTATAGTAATGTCGGTCACGGATGCTGAAGAAGGAAAGGAAACCGGCGAGGCTGCTGTGTGAAATGAACCAATATAAATTAGCACTTTCCTTTCCCTATGTAAAACTCCTAATCAAGGTATAGCATGTAACCAGATATAGAAGCGCATACCACAGAACCAGAGCCAACATGACTATAATGGCTCCCAATGCACGGCTACTGGTACTACGGGATCCTGATGTTCCTATTATGGTTATAATGAACAGTGCGAACCAGAACACCGTATCAATGATATTCAAAATCATGTTTGCTTTGCAGCTCGCCCATCGTTTGAATCGCGCGGCGTGAGCAGTGACGATCTGGTATGCCATAAAGACTGCTGACTTGAGGCACTACATACGTGGAAATTGCATTGTCAGCTCCTAGCAGCATAGAAATAGTCATTTTCTTCCAGTTGATAGTGTGGAGTCACTCACTACTGCGATACCCCATGTGTTGCTTCGTGATGGAGGAGTACCCTTGTCTGCAACGCGTGCGATAACAAGGATGAAGGTCAAAAAGAGCAAGGATGCGATGGCTATGTGCAATCGGAACTTGATTTGGGGATTATTCTCGATCGAGAGATTCATTGTAGCCCTGAGGGAGAGACTTGAAGGAATATCGACCAGACGCGATGAATGAGAAGTTGGAATGATATGCACAGAGGACGATAACTGGGATGCAAACGCAAGCTACATACCACGCTGAAAATCGGACCTCGTCTTTTAAGATATATTATCGAAGATTACGGTGCCTAGACATTATACTCCGCATGTCGTACTCGTATAGAGACCGTGGCCAAGGCAGCCACATACATAGTCCTGTGCGATATTTCCATTTTCCTTGTCCAGTACGGTAGAGAGTACCGCTGAACATATCATTCTGATACCGGGGTCGGCCATGTGGAACGCGAATCGAAAGCAGAAATAAGCTCGGGCCAGGTCCGTTTACCTGGTGGGTCCTTCGCATTCGTACCGTTAGCCCTAGTCGGCGACTAGACCCAGAGGCTCAGAATAAGCCAAACATGCTAGAAATGGCACCTAAGGTTTTCTGTTAGGCTGTTTCGATAGTTATATTAATTTGCCCTGAGGCCTATAATAATTGTTTTGAATATTATCTAGATATAAGCTGCCTATTGCCCCTTATACGCCCAAAGTATTAGAGAACTTGAAAGAATTAGGGCCTTTGCGGTCTTACCTCGTAGGTTAGTTTCCAATAAGACTGAGAAATCATATTATACGCTTTTACACCCCCCAAGCCATGATATGCCTGACTTGGGGGGAAGATCTGCCCCTGCTGGTTCCCGTTAGCTCATCCGTACGGGGAGCTCCCAGTCGACTTAGACTACCTGGGAGGAAGGCAATGCGGGGGCTGGTGGGATCAACAATCGAAGAGCCCCATGGCCAGCTCGCGATCCAGCTGGATAGATTGAGGGGAGCGGTGGTGCGTACAGAGGGTCTCTGGGGTGTGTCTGGGGGGACGGGGCTACGGCTGGGGTCAGAAGTTAGCTCGATGGCACTTTGTTCAATTAATTTTAGGGTCTTTTCGTTTTTTGGTACATATATGTGCAAGTATGAAGGCAAAATTGTCAAACCAACATTCTATAGACACCGTGGTTTTCAGCAAATAACAAATTACATAGAAGAATGCGCCATACCTAAACCCTAATATGCTTCCCTTGCTTATCGGTTCGACCATCGAAGGCTTCCCGACTCAGTATTCGGCATCCGCAGCGTAAAGCCCATCATACTATTTTGAATGAAAATGTGCTTGAGATCGTACGTGTTCGATAGACTGGCCTGGAGAAGGCTGTATTTCCACACGGTTGACTTTTTAAGAAACCGATAAGAGCAGCGGAAACCTCAATCTGCGAAAACCTCTACCTTGGACACAGCTGCGGACCATCTCCCCAGGCGAAAAGTGACTTGAGCTTCTCTCGAGAGATTCCTTCCGAAAACCTGTCCGCCTCCTGCCGTAGCCATCCAATGGGCTCCAGGCTAGTGGGTCAGGGCTCTATTGATCAGGATCGCTATATATGGCAACGGTATTTATGTTAACGACCGTATCCTTGGGAAAGACAATTTCGTGCTCGGGCAACAGTAGAGTCTGTTCATTGATGTTTATGTTTCATATGATACCGGTCACGGCGCCGTAGAGCCGAAGTGTCTCATACCGTGTATATTATTAGAAGACCGAATCAAGCGGTCTAAGAACAAGAATCACTTACTAGGATAGCACGCAGTCGAACGACGTGAGGAAATATATGCTTATGTTGTGGGCGATGATTGAAGACAGGAGATCTCCGCGTGGGTTCTGCTTTATTGAAGCCCTGAAGGCTTCCACGAATTCACTCAATAGCTCGCCCAACGGCTTACAACTAGTCCTAGTTCTGTGTATATGCTCCATCCCGCGACGGAGTGTGAGCGGACTTGCTATCACGTTTAGGACCACCTCTTGGTGCAATTGACAAGCTGCAATGTCCGCCACCAATATCTCTCCGTTATCTTTGTCAACTTCGTCGATGTTAAGGCATGCTTTAAAAAGGATGTCTAAGCTTAGCGTCATCATGTCGAAGTAGATTATGCGTCAGCCCACTGCTTGACAGTGGTGAAAGCGGGTCTCGCCGATTGAATCCAAACTGCCTCGTGCATCATCTCATTAAACGCCCGCGTGTTCAGTTTACGGTGACGTTTCCAGTCGTCCCCTTCAGTCTGAAATCTGTCAGTATCTTAGGATTGGTATGTGGTAGTGCAAATCGCAAGGAGAGAGAATCGAAGCGTCGCGGTTTCGTACCGAGGCTAAATTTCGTCCGAAGGTGTTCATTTCACCTCAGAATTTTGTTTAGTAGCCACTTTAATTTCCTTGAGAGGAGTGTAATACTCAGAAGCGGGCTTGGGTTTTGCAAGTCTTTCCACCGAGAAAGCACCTGCTTGCGATATCGCTGTCTGCGACGTACAGTTTACATGTTGCTGGTGTGTCCAGAATACACATCTTTCCGTACTCGGCGTGAACAGCGAACTTTTCCTGTAAGCTCGCTTTTTCCTGAATATGTCACATGAATGTGAGGCAAGTAATGTAATACGAAGGTATGTCGCGGTCCAGTATATACCTCAGGAACGTCGATGAAGGTCTACGGGTCGAGGTAAGGCTCAGGAAGATGAGCAAAATCCAGTTCCTCTGCCCGTTTTCAGTTCTGATGCCATGGCCAACCCACGTACAGGCACCAAGCTACTCAACAAATATCAGAGTTACTGGCATAAACGACATCTGATGTAGATGAGCGATGGCAGTAAGTGGCTATATCTAATGGGAGGAGAGGCATTCAGATCAAGCGACATGAAGCAGGACGACGCTATGGTGGATGTTATCGACCTGAAATTCTGGCCACAAGGTTAACACCATCGCATCTCCTTACCTCGGCAGAGCACAGAATGAGCCACAGATCGAAGCTATGATGGTTTTTTTCCTAGACAGAGGGAACCATGTGGGACCCTGTTATCTCCTTCTATTTTCCATAAAGCAGCTGTATGGGTCGAGGTGGGTCTTTTCCTTCGTACTCGTATCGATTACTATATGAGGGGCTTCTTTACAGGCCAGAAACAGATATAATACTCTGCCGGTTAGGCCACGGGCGGTAAGTCAGGCGGTGAATGGCGGAGTTCTCTTTGGGCCTTTTTTTGTCTTTCGGAGCAGAAGATGAGGCAAATCACATCGCCTGATCTAGTTGTGTATCACTAGGACAATGTGCCGCTCATGCCTATTCGTCGACCCCACCGGAAATCTAGACATGGCTGTAAAGCATGTAAACAGCGGAGAGTGAAGGTATGCACAATCCCCAGTTGGATGCGTATATAAAAACCTCGTATGCCAACCCACCCCTAACTGATTTCCCTTCTAACATACATCCCTTTAGTGTGATGAGGTGCGACCGACTTGCACAAATTGCCAACAACGCCAGGAGGTTTGTGATTGGGGCACAGACACGCCCTTCATCTGGGCTGGAGAGGGTAACCCCCCTCGACGACGACCCCGGGGTAGCAGGAAGATATCTTCCAACAGTCAGGAGGGTGCGTTGCCATCACCAGATACCTCCTTTGACCTCTTAGATAGGCTCGGGGCAAATGGTACAATCTCCAGCCCTAGTCCAACTCTGGATTTGAATCAGCTCCGGCTTATCGTCCAGTGGCAAGCCGACACGCACCGATTCTTCGCGCGAAACGAAGAAACCAAACGTATATGGAAGGTATTACTTGTCGAGGAAGCGCTGAACACACCATTTTTAATGCACGGCATCTTGGCTGTGTCCGCGCTGCACCTTTCGTTATCTGAAATTGAACCACAGAAATCCTTTTGGTTAGGGATAGCCACAGCACACAAAGGCCAGGCACTCCCGCAATTCGTTCAAAATCTCCAAAATATTGATGTGGCAAATGCTAAGGTCATGATGGGCCTCTCTGGGCTGGTGGTTGCATTTGCCTTTGGCTCTGCACTGACCGGAGTTGCTGACGCCGATCTGCCCTGCCTAGATACTCTGCACAACGTATTTGTGCTGTGTCGCGGAGTCCAGCAGATTATTAACGCAGGCTCTTCTTTACGAAGTAGTAACTTTGCCCCTATGTTCAACCCTACACCACCACCGATCAATTACCCCGAGCGTGCCAAGGAATCTCTCGACCACCTCGAACAGCTCAACGCAGCTCTTGGGACAGGCAGAAATCATGATACCGCTACATACGCACGTATGGTTGACGAATTAAGAGCACTTTCAGTCCATACATATGCTCAACCAACCTGTATGATGCTGGCCGTGGGGTGGGCCATCCGAGCAACTCCCCAGTATCTCCAGTATATGCAACACAGAGAGCCTTTCTCCTTAGTCATTCTCGCACATTATTGTGCCTTTTTACATATAGCGCGAGAAAACTACTTCCTTCAGACTTGGGGAAGTTGTGTCCTCAGGGAGATCTATCAACTTCTGGATCCCATGTGGAGAATCCATATCACGTGGCCCGTCAGTGAAATTTTTGGGGAAAGTATAGCTTTATGAGAGCATGCCCTTGTGTATAGGAAAGGATTGGCATGGAGCGTCTATTATCGTCTATTATCATAGAATGCGAACCACTTTTTCTATATTCCTTCTTTCCTACGATTACAGTACACCCTAAATCGCTTGACCGAGACATAAATTCTATCTCAGACGAATCAAAGTAAACTTGAGTTACCATAAATAGTCCATTCTGTGAGCATACAACTCTAGAACAGTCCATAATAGAGGACACGGGGGAGAAGTATTTAAAACATGAGATTCAATTTCCATGAAGAATTATTTCGCGAAATCTACTGTTTATCCTCCGGTCTTTTCCCGCGCGCTCCACATTGTACGTGCCTTAAAGATACTCAGGCAACGAACATTCCGACATGGGATGATAACCCTAATAGTGCATTCTTTACAACATGAAAGAAGCCCCATTTCAAGAATTATTTTTTCCCTATATGATTGAGTGGGTTGATGGAAGGTAAAACTCCCTTTTTACAATAATTGAAATTCATGAAATAATAATACTTGAGAACTATTTCGTGTAAGTATTGCGATTAGAAATGCTTCTACACCCTTGTCTTTCCCACGGAATATCGACACCAGGTCATCTCCAGAAATCACGAGGCCATAGGGATATACAAAATGGAGAATTTTAAGAGATCATATCATAACACTGCTTTTATGGCTCTGTAGTTCAGAATCAGTGGGGACAAGGTTGAATCTCCGCGGGGCGGGCGAATTGTTTATTCCACCGGGGTTCGCTTTCCGCGCGGATTGATAGGCCTAGAGAAAGGGTTAGGGTTATCGTTAAAGACAGACTAAACCGTGGGGTTTAGGAATGATATTACTTAATGACTTATGTGAAGACTAGGAGGATCTGGAGGCAGTGTAGAACAGAGTAACATTCCTTTGCTAAATGCAATCCATGCTGGAAAGTTACTGCTGCCGAACTCCGAGGAGATATATGATGCGCAACTACTAAGACAAAACTACAAAAAAAGCCCATGGGAGATTCGAGAGGTTGCATCCGACAGGGAACTCCCAAACTTTTGGGCTGGCTCTCTCCCTCCTCGGAACTCAAACCCTCGATCCCCACGCGGGTACCAAATAATATCGTCTGTTATCATGAAATGAGGATGTGAGAGCCTGGAAATAGAAGAGGCCCGACGCGCTATATGATACAGACCTAGTTGATCTCTGACGGGATCGTGTGCCTTATCTTTTAGTAAGTATACCGAAGAAAGCATCAACCAGGTTCACTACCCAACCGGGAGCATCCGGTTGAGACATCTTCAATGAGCCGGACTGGGCCCGAACACACAGTCACCACGTCGGGACTCGTGGTCGGGATGCGCATTTCATGGGGTTAACCCATAGTGGCGATGAAAGCATTAATGACCTCGAAGAGGTTGCGGAGAAGAAACACGATGAATCACGCGAAAAGATGTGGAGTGCAGATCTAGTCAAGGTGCGTAATGTGATGACCAAGCAAATTGGGAGGAAACTTACTGCATATAGTTATTGCACGATTTAGCCTCGAAAGATCAACGACAGAGTCAACTAATAGTGGCGGGACTAGATGCTGCTCTACCGTAGACGTTTCTCCTTGGCTTTTCTCTATCGTACGGCCTATATACTCGTGATTCTATGCCAGTGATTGCTTCTAATCATGGTGCCTTTGCTATATAACCGATTGCGCTCCACCGCGACACTATTGCCAAGGCCTAAAACAATAACAAACCACCGGTCCCACTTAGAACACTACCAGTCAACCACCGTGACTCCTCGGAGCAGAGGAAGCTATTTATGCTCTTAGCATCAGGTTTGCTATTGGTACGAAAGCTGAATGCAAGCACTTACCTCACAAGAGGTGCAATGTCTTCGACCTCCCCCATTCGTGCCTCAGCCGGTGTACTTTCGATCATTGGTTGCAATGCTCCCTTAAATTCCGGGGCACTGTTATGAAATTGCTCGGTGGCAATCGGCCCTGGGCTTACACAGTTGACAGTTATTCCATGAGATTGACCTAACTCAGTGGCCCAGACCCGCGCAAGCGATTCCATGCCTGCCTTGCCGGCCGCGTATACTGTGGTTTGCGCAACACCCATTCGGGCTGCCGCGGATGTGATCAGGACCACTCTTCCACCCCGAGGCATGTGTGGTACTGCAGCCTGAGTAAGGAATATCGGAGCTGCGTGGTGAGAAGAGTAAACATTGTTGCATGTTATTTTGTTAGAGGTCTCATAGTACTTACCTTTCAGATTCACGCCAACTAGCTGTTCGAAAAACTCCTCGCTAATGTCTTTGAGATACGCATCGTCTCCATTTCCGGCATTGTGGATTAGTATGTCAATTGCTTTGTTCGGACTTGCCTGCACAGCCGCGTCGATGAGCGCCTCCCGGTCTACCGCAGATGTTATATTGGCTTGCACTATGATCCCTTTCCCTCCTGACTCTGTTTCTTCGATTGCTCGGGAAACCGTGATTGCTCCGCCGTGGGATTTCTCACTGGTATAAGTGATGATAACAGTCGCACCTCTGCGGCCTAATTCAATAGCAATACCCGCACCAATGCCTCTAAGATCTGTCAGTCATCCGACATTTTTGACCGTAAAGTAGAAGCAACAATATACTTGGAGGAACCCGTTACAATGGCGACTTTTCCAATTAAATTTGGGGACAAGCTTGGCAACTGCCCTCGGCTTTGGGTGGTTTCGCGCATAATTTCTCTCTCAATCTGGTAAACGGGTGGAAGCCTGATGTGTCTGGAAAACCGAGAGATAGCATAGGAGAATTGGAAAACGACAGGTGTGGTAAATATAGCTCGAGCAATTACAATCTTTTATGTACGTACATTTGTCAGGTGGAAGTAAGAGTAAACGTCAATCATTCCTAGAATATCCTTTGGTTGGTCGGTTGGAAGCATTGCCGTACTGGGTAAGCGGGCCAGCCACCTGAGGTGGCGAATGTAACCCTAAGGGGACATGAATTCATCGTCTTGTTCCTCTAGAACCGACCCCCTCAGGATCCAGAACATGCGTAGCCGTGGAGTTCCGATGGTCCAGAAAACGTCATAGCGCGTGTACCTGAGGCGGGGGATGGCTCTTGCGTTTGCATTCCAACCTATGGAGAGGCGATTCATGCAAGGGTATGTATCTTGTAACGATCATGCCCAGAATTCGGAGGACCACATTTCTATACTCTTTTTGTTTAATTTTGCTGATTGTTCATCTTCATATCGGAGAACAAATGCTCTTCATAAGATCGCCATATATACGTTCTAAGGCTTTGCTAATCTGTTTCCATTAAAGAATGCCCACCATAGCTAAAATTACCCAGGTTCAAAGCAAGTCCTTTAGAAGTCAGTGGGTCTCGTGTCCTTCAGGAGCTCCGGCCGAAGATGATAAATCGGGTCCAGTTGTTCGTAGTATCCACAAGCCGGATCGCTCATACAATACCCCATATACTCCTGAATCTCGCGGTCGTAGCTCCGCGCAACATCCTGCGGCACAGCCAAGAACTGATTCTCCTCCTGACGCAAGAACCCACGCGTGATGAAAGTGGCAAATGCCAGGCGATACTCATCTTTTGTGACGTTCGAACCTCCACCATGGAAGGCAGAGGCCAGCATAATGAATCCGTCTCCTTTCTCCATATCAGCAAAGATACATTGATCAACTCGTGGTGGAGTATCGCGATCCGTCCCCCTAGAGGTTGTCAGATTTGAAAGTCCAGCCCCGTCGGTTTCGGACCTACCAAAGGTGGCTCCGAGGTATAAACTGGGTACCGCCATTCTCCTTGGTAATTCTTGTACCAGCGACGAATAGTCCAACGGCTGACTCGCGATCCATGTCACGAGCATCATCCCATTTGTCGATCTCTGTATGATAGCGATGAGCGATGTAATCATCGCGGTGCAATGGTTGTGCTTTACCACCAGGGCCAATTCGCATCGCTGTACATGAATGCACGTAGGGCTTTGACACGGACTCTTTCTTCTCGTCTCCCCACCAGAACCAGCTCCGGGTAGCCAAAAAGTGCTCGCAGACCTTACGGAAAAGGGGGTTCATGACTTGTGTCTTCGTGTACGTTGGGCTTCGTGCAATCAGTGAAGGAGCCCTTTGGGTTTCGGCTACGGTACAAAAATCAGTCCTAGATAGTTCAAGGGCGCTTCTAGGCACTAATGTTTTGCTTACCAGGAAAAAACTTGCCGTCCCATTGCATGTCACTCTCTAAGCGATCCTTTACCTCGCTGAATGCCTTATTAACGTCTTCTTCCGGGATTAAATTCTTCACGAAGACACCGCCATCACGCTTGAGTAAGTATAAAATAGCCTCTAGCGGGGTGTCCTTGGAGACCTTCTGAACCTCCTCCCCGTACTTGGAAGTATCAAACGACATATTTGATGATCTGAAACTGGATATATCAGGTATAGGATCGTAACCTTTTTTGGCTATATTCTTTAGAGGCGACAAAATGAATCTCTTATATTTTGTTTCTTAATTATAGTTACCAGGTGGGGTTCTTCGCATCCAATATTGTTCCTAATTCAACATGCGTCACCATCGTGGCAATTATTTCGTGCGGGGAAGCTGGGTTGATTACCCAAACGAGTAATACATCCAGCCGGAAGCTGATTGGCGCGCACAGTCCCCTTGCTTCTTTCTTGATACTACTCTTGTATACTTCTCCTCAGGGCAGGCAGAGGGACTGTCCTCCTGACCTTATATCTCCTCTGTTATTTCACGCCACTCCTACATCTATCCTTCCATATAGTAAGAATAGTATCCAGCTTTCACTGCCTTTATCAGTGATATAGAGTTTGCAGGGAGATTTTACGCCGCGCATACAACCAATGACCACGATAGGATAGGTCCTCTCCCTTGCAGATACTTGTACAAAGTTGTCAATTGGGTTATAATGTCCCTTGATGCGTGATGAGGGTGACTTCGAAGTCAAGGGATGCATTCTATATAAAACGCCTTTAGTCCTAAGAGAAACGAACATGTTCATACTTCTCTATAAATACCCACTTTAGTTGATTCATCTCGTGTGGACCTTCCTTAGCTATCAACATTTAAACTCCTCAGCATGCCATCCGGGCCAGAAAATGTCATCAAGGATGAGCCACCCACTTTGATACGCAAAGCCTTCATCCCGGAACGATCACAGTTATCTCAAAGTCCAGAGACTATGACGATGCTATTCTTTGAGAAAACGGCCGTCAGACAGCCATACCGCGCCAGTTCATTGTCTTTCTGCTCTTGGACAGGGATTTCTATTCCTAATTCGTGGGTTCGATATCTAGTAGTAGCTGACGGTGCTTCGAGTAAACAGCTTACTGATTATTATGAGTGGGATAAAGCTGTTTCGGCCCAAACCTAGCTTACGGTGGCGCGCAGGCGTGTATCTTCAGGTTTGATTGTGGTCTTCATGATTCAATTCATTGTGACCCTGGGCCTTGCAGAACTAGGATCTGCCTCTCCCGTTCCAGCACCCTTACTCCGTTCGCAAACACGAATTTCAGCACTAATGCATTTGAAGGAATAATGTAAACACTACAGAAACAGTACTGAGACTGCGGCAAAAGCAGCTCTATTGCCTTCTATTTATATAAATAAAAATATCGATAAGCTCGAGCGAATCATTTAAGAGTAACGGAGAAAACATAAACTACAACGCACTATTTCCCACTTGTAAGTTGAAGCCCAGATATAGAGTAATACATCATTTATAAATTAGTAACGAGAAGCTACCTGTTTGTTCTCAGAAGATTATAGTAAGATCAGTCCCAGTCTCTTCAGCGCTGGCCTTTATAGCCACTGGTAATTTGCTTGACTTGGTTGACGATCGCAGTCATTTGGGCTCCTAATAAGACGGCCATTTATCAATATCATAGATAGATCTCTTATTGGGAATCGTCAACATGAGCGTGAACCTACCACCCTTTTGATCGGCATCATCGCCGTACCACCCAATCCAATCCCAGCATGCGTTGGGGTTAGGAGCCATCATTCCTCCCCATATGGGATGCAGTGCATAGTCGGTCACTGCCTGTGGGAAAACAATGATCATATTGTTTGTATCTTTGAGAATTACGAAGCCGTTAGTGGATTAACGAGGGTTAAAACAGACACTGTTTACGTACCAGCCCATTTATCATACCCCGTATTGTCAATGAACTTGGTCCCAATTTTGTCATGACTTTGAAGACATCCATGCAGCGCTACATGGAGCTTGCATACCGTAGAGCCGTCTACACATCGCTTGGGGACATATAGGTACCCGGTATTATCCATTCCCGGTCCACCGTAAGAGCCACGTTGCTCGAAAGAGATCATTTGACCATCCAATTTATTACTATTGCGGGCGTTCAGTTTGCCATAGATCCATTGTAAGACCGCACCTGCACCATCATATCCACAATTGCTGATGTATGGTGATGAGGCTATGCCACAAGGATTATTGCCCGACTGGTCAAAGTCTGTCGGAAATGTATGAGATGCCCCCGGGGTAGTGATGTATGCGGTTTCGGACTGATTAGCGAACGCCAATATCTGTGTTCTTAGTTGCTGCATTACCCCAGGGCCCACAGTCGTATCGATTGAGCCAACCTGCATGTAGATCTTGCGACTCTGAAGATTGGCAACGTCGTCGATTTGCTTCCCACTCCATGATTTCATGTTCGCAGTTGGTGCAACGATAGATGGCTTCATGTTGTACATACATGTGATGTACTGCAGTAGATAAGGAGCTTTAGTGTCCTCCGTCCCAGTAGAGACAGATGGAAAACATCTTACCGGTTGAGCACGAGCGCAGTCAAATGGACCCCCAGCAAAGACACCAAACCCTGAGGAGAACGTACTGGAATGGGCGATACCAAGCTGTGCTGCCATGAAGCCACCGCTGGATATGCCAGATACGGAGACGTAGTTAGGGTCAACATTGTACGCGCTAAGTGCCCCGGCCGACGTGCCAGACACAAGGCAGACAATACCTAAACCAATGTTGAAGGCGACCATGGCTTATATTCACAGGGATCTGAAAAGAAGAACGCCCTGTAATATGTAGTCAGAAAGCCAGCGAGGGATATTTATTGGTCGTATGAGACAGTTGTGGGAGGTACAATCTACAACCCCTTCTCGGGTGGTAGAATTTATGTGTTGGGAACTGTTCTAAGAAAGGTGTTTTTTCGGTACAAACACCGACGTCAAGCACAATTATGTCCCTAGTAATATTGAGATCGGATCCGACGGGTAGAATACTTCGCTGAAAAGAAAAAGAGCGGGGCTTCCTCATTCTATATCGTCAGAACTGGCACACATTGCCTAGGATCCTTTGACGAACTTACCCGGCTATGCATTGAAGGAGTCAAACAGCCGTCCGTGCGCTTCTAAAAGCCCCGACTCATGTTTCCTCTACAAATTGTATAAGCACATCATATTACCATGTAGGTAGATGTCCATAGAATATGGCCTTGGTTACAATTAAATTCGGAAGAGCGCTTCCACGTGGCTAATGTATCCATGATCCAAGATAAAAGTTACTATACTAGTGCTCACTGTATACACAGCATAGTTATCCGAGACAAATGTCAGGATCACCTGGACCATTGCTGGTCTAGCCCAAGGTACGGATCGTAGTTGCTCTACGCCGGAGTGGAGACTCTGCGGAGAACATGCCCAGGGCTGCTTGGAGAGACTTGGAGCTTTGTGGAAGATGCTACAATCTATGAGCCAGAACTGATTGCAGGTTTATGTGTGCGCCGTCAGCGTCGGTTAGCGCAACTAGAGAATTGGGTGCGGCGTGGCATAATTTCCCTTTGCATGTCCACGACTTCTTTTTGTCACACTAGAACTATGACTGCGGGAGACAACAGGGAATCCATCCATCCATTAATACTTACAGAAGCATTCTCCTCTCTGCGGGGCATATGTTCGTGGGATATATTATTTACTGCTCTAGGCCGTCGGATCCGGCATATTTAGTGTACGGTTGCAATTTAATCCCATCGGATCCGATCCTAGGGTGATCCATCCCCGGATTGGCTCAGGGCAACGATGTATTTAAAGTGGCCAACGGGAATACTTCAAATGGTCCGAAATTTGCACGTTGTCATGCAGCGTTATTTAAAGCATGGAGATACTCAAAGAGGAAGGGAAAATAAAAAAAATAAAATAAAATCTTGTATTGTTTCGATCGGTTTGTTTCTGAACCTGAGGCTTTCAGGGTCCATAATTTAGAGCAATTTCATATTTGTGCCAAGACTTTCCCTTTTCGAGTCCATGAAATGAAGATTCATCTTGATTATTTCCTGCTTTTTGCAGCGGTTCTGGTTACCATACTTTGTGCAATATCGCACTGTGGCTATTGACCCGGTGAAATTTAATAAAATCCGTATGTATGCGAAGCTATGTGGAATGGAAAATCATATATCTAATTTTATCCAGTAGAGTTGGGACTCTGGATAGCTCAGGTTGACCAAGATAGTTAGTGGCTGATGTAGTGCGGGATGTAAGAAATATATATATTTTCAGTGAGAACTCGGCATCTACCAACACCAACTCCGGATAAATCAAGGGAGCGCCACTAAATGAGTCTAGTTCATTGGATTGTTCAGTTGGCTTGTCGAGTATTTTGATTCTTTTATTACTTGAAAGTGTGGTTACTCTACTCTGAACACCGGGTGCCCAAAGTCACTAAAGCTATATAGATAGATGGGACTTTACCTGGTGAATCAACTCCGAAGCGCCGCCCCCCCGGTAGGTATTCTAGTTCTAATACATGAGGCCATAAATTCACGAGCTGACCGGACCGATAGAGCGGGTCCCTTTGTATAGGAATGCAAATTCGTGGTATTCTAACTGTCCTCCCTGTTCGCTCACTATGTCGAGAACAGTCACGGTTGGGTGCGCAGCCCCTGGACAGTGTATGAAGTATGCGTCTGTAGTATCTACAATTCGAGAGTTGCCGCAAGAGATGTTAGTCGAGAAAACTGAGAACACCACACCAAATAATGCATCGTTTTATCCATATCATATTCACAACCTCAGAACGCTTTTTACTTTCCCCGCTACCATGAAGATAAACAAGCGTCAACTAATATCTACAGCCTTCCTTATCTTGACATCTTGCCATAGATATCAGCAACGCTAAGTTAAAGTGGAGAGACCTCACCTGAATCTTTTTGCCATGCTCGATAGTTTAAACACGTTACCCATAGCAGGGCCTAGGTCAATACAGGAACGCGACAAATGGCACCATTAGCCGGTAGGGTACCACTGAGCGAAGATCTCCGGATATCAAAACATTTGCCGAAGCCCTGGGATTACAAGATAGTCCAGCTATCCATCACAATGCTTGCCGTGTTGCGAGGTGCTAAGCCCTGATAGGCCGTAATAGATGCCTTCCCCAGTCAAGTTCATAGATTTATGCATTTCAATAGGAACTGAACCTGTTCCTCAGGTACGAAAATGCATTGGCTGCTTTAGTATTCTTCTATATGAATTTCTAGCCTATAAGGGGTTGAAAGTAGAGATTTTGCGTCCCCGATCAACTCTATTAAAAGAAAGAATACTCTATACTCATGTGAGATTGCTTGTAAGGAATATTACTAAAGTGGGAGTGGTCTGATATTTGACTTGATGAGATTTCACTGGTATTCCATATCACTCCACTTATTTCCCCCTCTCCCTTTTCATAAAGAAGGATTATCGTCCTCGATTGGTCCAAGTCATCAAACCCAAGTCAAGAGGGGATCTGCGGTTTTTAGGGTTTCCGATCGGTGAACCGAACGGGGGGAAGAGCATTTGTGACTCGTGGAAATTTCCTTCGGAAGCCAATCTTCTCCAGTGGAAGTATCTCGGGAGGTCATCGGAGGAATCCTCGCGTACCGAAGGTTCTTTGCAAAAGGGTATATTCTGGTATCTGGCAAAAAGTCTGAGTAGGCAGCCCTACTTTGCCCCCGCATCTTCTTACTCAGACTTCTTGCCAAGAACTATGAATCCTACATGCCGTCCCCAGTACCCCACGCAACCCAGCCCCGCAATCCCGAGATATTGCATGGTCTCAAACCTTCGTATACGCAACCTCGAAGATGTCGGCTGGAAGCGCAAGTGTGGGGTGAGCTCATCTCCACGCGCCAAACGCCAGTTGGCTCACCTATGGACTTTCCGGATATGTCCACGAGGCGAATAACATTCGAGCAATTTTTCCATGCCCCGAGCAACCAATACTGCCCAAACCATCAATATATCCATTCACTGAAGGTATAAAGAACGGCCCCAACGTCGTGATCTGTTGAAATCCCGGCGTGGGCCAATCGAAACCGCTCTCGCTTGGGATTTGCGTTTGATGCGGTCTATATCACACACGGCTTGGCGTGAACCTGCAGTCTGTTCTTGTTCAGTGTCAACGCTAGATACCCTTACCGACTACCAAGATGTTGAAGTACCTACTCTTTGGTGCTTTCAGCACTGTCCTTGCAGCCTCAGTAGATCGTCTTGTGAGAATCTCTTCCATGTTGCCGTGGATATAGGATATGTTGCTGATATGACACCTCCAGGCGCTCGACCAACATGCCGCGCATATTGCCTCCCTCAATGTTCTCTCTGGCCATATGTCCGCTGGAAATGGGACAGCTGCCCCTTGCGTCAGCAAAGAGCTGCGCCTTGCTCTGAGCGACCCTCCGTATAGCAATTACTTCTACTCCGACTGCCATGTGGCAGCTCAGGTGGTGGTTACGACGCCCCTGCCCGACAGCAATCTGTCTGTGATCGGTCCTCGGCTTATTGTCGCGTGGCCTGGTGGTAATAGTGGGATCTGTGCCTATTTCGCTCCCCAAAGCGGTATCAACGGGACTCTGGCTATCGAGCTTGTGAACTCGACGATTGGGCAACCGTTGGCGCCAGTCTATTCCCCTGCTCCTCCCAATTCGACATCCGGCACCCCTCAGGTAGGAGTAACAGGAGTGTTGCGCTTCAACTCATCGGCGGAATTGACTGTTCCGATTTTGGGCAGCATCAGGACCATCAGGGACTTTGTGGAGGGGCCGAGCTTACTGTATCCAGAAATTCAAGATTCCATTCGCTTTTCTGAGCTTCCCACTGGGGGCGTCACACTACAGAGGTTGTGGCTGGACAATGTGACTACTGTGCATCTCGTGTTCTCCCCTCTCAACAACGATGCAAACGCCAAGGTGACTCTCAATGATAAAAATATTGAGTTCACGGCTGGAGATTATATCTTCTCTGCATCTTATAACTACCCACAATTGACACAATTGGCCCCCGCAGAGGTATTGAAAAACGATTCCTCCGCGCTGATTTCTCCGCAGGCCGATCAGGTGACAGCTCTGTCCTTTCTCTCATACTCCGACAAATTATTAGCCGGTGCTTGGAGGTTCCTGACATATTTTGGTCGGGACTCGATGATCTCTGCTCTGCTGCTGGAACCGATTCTCAGTACCGGCGAAGGTAGTGCCATGGAGGCTGTGATCGGATCCGTGCTGGAACGTGTGAGTCGAACGGACGGAAGCGTGTGCCACGAGGAGAACATCGGGTGAGAGGAGATATTCTGCAATATCTGAGTTCAAGCACTGACGCGCGCTGCACAGTGACTACGCTACCTGGACAAATATGAAAAATAACGTCTCGAGTAGCTCTATGATCTGCGATTACCATATGGTACGACTAATCTTTCTCGTGAAGGATATAATCCTATACTTATGAGTGTTCTAGGTTGACACGGATTACTTCCTTCCCATCCTGATGCAAAAGTACTTCATAGAGAATCCAGTCGGCCAAGGCAGATACCAGGCATTTTCAAAGTCTGTTTTCCTAACTCTGATGTCTTTGAACAACCTGCTGACTGGTACTCTATAGCACCACGGCGGGCATATTCAATACTGCGAACCAAAACCTGACCTGGGGTGAATTGGCACTGACTAATGCTGAACGGGTCATGCGCCTTGCCGCTCCATTCGCCAAGGATCAAAAGCAAGAGAACTTGATCCATCTTCATGAAGGTCAGGTCGTCGGTCAGTGGAGGGACAGTGCTTACGGTATGCCCGATCTGACTGGTCACAACCGCGTTTGTGTTCTTATGTGACTGACATTTTAGGTATTGGTGGTGGCCGGATTCCATTTGATATCAATACAGCTTTGGTACCCGCTGCCTTGCGTTCAATTGCTGCCCTTGCACGAGGCGGTCTCCTCCCCCGAAAGCACTGGGCAAAGCTTGCCGACACATACGCGCAGACCTGGGAGGACCAGACTCTGAAATTCTTCGAGGTGGGAGACTGTGGAACTCCTCGTAAGGTCGCTATACTAATTACATTTCTTGACTGCAGGTTACTATCCCTAGGGTCGAGGCGACACAGCGGGTGCGTTCCTATGCGAAAGTATCTGGATTCACAGGGCCAAACCAAACCGACACGATCGACTCGGATATACAGTATTATGCCTTAGCTCTGAACGGCAGTAATAACCTCAGCAAAGTGGAAGTGATGCACACCGATGACTGCTTCCGCCATTTCCTGCTCAACACAACCGAGCAGACGCAACTGACTGCCTTCGTCAACCAGACTGCAAATAATATCCGCCGTACCTTCCCCGCAGGACTCATGACTGATGTCGGTCTCCTAGTTGCCAACCCGGCCTACGGTCCTGATCCAGTCTATGCACGGAACTTTACCGCAGGTGCTTATCATGGTACCGTCGTCTGGTCATGGCAGCTGGCTATGATGGCTAAGGGACTCGAACACCAGTTAGGACGTTGTGTTTCAAATGGATCCTCTGGATCTGCGTTGAGTCCAGACTTCTGCCGGGATGCAGTTGTGTATAACAATGTTCGAGAAGCGTACCGCATTTTCTGGGACGTACTGGAGGAGAATTCGAGCCTGCTTTCTATGGAGGTGTGGTCCTGGATTTTTAAAAATGACAGATTCCAGGCGACACCCTTGGGAACCTTGCCTCCGCCTCCTGGTGTCAGCGGTGGAACCGGTGAGTTGACCTGGCCATGTCCTTGATGGTGTGTACTGACATAGCATCACCGTTAGAATCAAACATCCGACAGCTCTGGTCTCTGACGTTCTTGGCTGTCACAAGGAACAAGACGCTCTAGAGTGATGTCCGTTTGTTTATATGCATGGATCTTGCTATTGTTTCTTAGGTATCGGGGGCATCAAAGCCCTGGCCATGACTGCGAGCCATATTCTACACTAGTGACTTGAAGGTTTTAAGATCCCCACTGAGTACATTTATATATGCCAGTCAACTAATGAACTTATTTATCAAATGGGAAGAAGGCCAAATCTTTTGCCATAGACGGTATATGTCCTTAGTAATTTATTGAATATGCCCCGTGTGTAAAAGATAATTCCGGTGAGCTCGGTGATTCTGGTACTATAGGGGCTGAGTCGGGACCCTTGCTATGATACCATGACTACTGAGATGTAACCCTGCTATTCATAAGCCGCTAATTGTGTCTGTCATAGCCAATGGCTCGATGTGGATGTTAAACTTGATTGTTAATAATGATAAGAAATAATAAGCCGCTAATCTAAACGGAATAGGGTGGTGGCTGATAGTGGTAATTAATGATTGACAACAGTACTGCACCAGCAAGTTCAGTCCAGGTCCTTCCTCCTGGCGTCGGGACAGGGGAACAGTGGGTGGAGCGAAGGTACAGCGTGGATACCCGCTATAAGCAATGCTATGTGCGCCTTCGGAGGATCTGGAGCCATTGCACATGGTTCAGCCTGAGGGCCCATCCTTCTGTATCCATGGTCGTCAGGCTACTTAGCGGAAGGGGTCATTCCACATAGGCTGGAAAGTCCGCCAGGGCCCTATCATTAACAACGTTTCTACAATGGTCGCTCACTGTTCCCTCGGATTTCAACGAGCGAGATGACGGTCCCCTACGGAGATCCTCGCTCCCCATATCACCGCAAGCAGGCATTTGACCTTGGCGATTTGGGCTTTGGTATCACCTCCAACACGTTGACACTGTGCTGCGACTGCTTGGGCCTCATTGCGTACCCCGAGGGTGCTCGGGGGTCGGGATCCGGTGTAAAACGTTAGCTGCATAGATGAGATAGATGGTGGAGTGGGATGGAAACGTACCAATGCCCGCAACAGGCAGGTCTCCATGGTTCGTAATCGCCTGTTGGTGATTCAGTGCACGGCCACTGTTCTGAACTACGAATACATTCTCGCTTTCGTCCTTGAACAGGTAGCTAATCTTCACATCTATTTCAAAGCTACGGGCATCGTGTCGATCGACCATGCCCATCCGCCAAAGACGCTTTCACTGTGGGGAATAGTCGTTGCTCTATGTGTCCTAGCTGTTAGCCATCAACATCTGTTCTATCTACGCATCGATCCAGCCTTAGACGGGGTACAGAACACAGTCATCTATGATGATATTAAGTCCGTTATGGACGATCCTCAGCTGGACCTCTTGGGTGTAGTGTTTCGTGTCCACACGACGCCCATCACCTAGCCTGGAGGCTATGATCTTGACGCCAGCAAATCACAAACCTACAAGATCGTCAACCCGTCTCGCATTAATACCGTATCAGGGAAGCCGGTGGGGTACAAACTACATGTACTACCAAGTCAGATGCTGATGATGGGGCCTGACACATTCAACTAAAAACGTGGATACTTCTCATCCAAGCCTACCTGAGTCACATCCTACTGTGACAAACACTTTTAGGCTGCCGACGAGTTCACCAACTAAAGCCGAGAGGATACTGGTTTGGGTGTATGGGCACGACGGGATGAGAATGTTGAAAACGAAGAATCGTTCTTTGGCACACTTTTGGAGTCACGCACGTTAGTAGGTATCTATCCTGTCTTACAACCTACGTATATCAAGAACTTTCAGCTAATAGCTGTCATATATAGAATTTCCAGTTATGCCAGTCGAGGTGATATCGGTGTCCGTGAAATCGACTAGTTTCTTCGAATTGAGCCCCTTCCAACGACGTTCCTCACTCCAACCAGAACATGAATCGGTCGACCCTAGAACATTCGAGCGCAGGATCGTAATGTGGGTAGTGCAGTTTGCAGGAGCAGTGAGACCTTAGCTGAGCTCGTATCTCTCAGGCAGGATGGTCTATATACCCAGGTAGTCAAGTCCAGATAATTCAACGCACGTATCATCGTCAAGGACAACGTCTCCTTTCTCTAGGTGCACATGGTTTCCATCTTGAATAACTCACGAGGCCTTATCCAAGTATCAACCTAAAGGTTCCATTGAAATATCGAGAATCAGGACACCTCTAATGTCCGGGCATTTTGGTGGTCTAGTCGTATATGTTGGTTCAACAACTCGGTACATTACCATTCTACTTCACATACAGCCGCCTAAATCAATGCCTCGAACCTATACTGCACCGACAGCCACCATAACCGTGCCTGTAGTGGCCTGAACCATAGTGGCACGTTGCCTATACTTTTTTCGGAGTCATTGGACTCAGTATACCCAGTGGATTTGGAAAATTATACTATATCTGTACTTTACGGGCACAGAAACGGTATGTACAGAATATATCCATATTTTTAAGATAAAATTATGACTGCAAGTTGGAAGACTAACTGTATTTGGTTTAACTAAATAATCTAGATATGCTCCCACTGTAGAGCCATAACATGAGCCGGCCAACCTTGAGCATTTGGAAACAGCACCACAGCACCGTATTGTGGGAAGTGCAGTTTGTAGGAACTGTGAGACCTTATTCCTAGCTCCCTAATTCAATTCCTACCTTAATTCGGCAGAGCTAAGTCCGCGATATAAACTTGAGATGCTGTATTATCTTAGTAGCTAGGCTTATAAACTTCAATCTTATGGTTCAATATCCTCATAGATGACTAAGGCACCCGTTCACTGTCGCCTGAGATATCTGGCACTCAACGGGATAAACACGTTCCTCCGAGCCCCGTGCCCACTCCAACAAGATAGACATGCCGTGTTTATGATTCCCCATCTCGATATCCAAGGCTAAACCTAACGGCGTGATAACTCTCGTTTATACAGCACGCGTAGGCTATGGCTGATAGATATGGCTGGTAGTGCTAGCAAGAAGGTCTCCAGCGCCTGCCAACGATGTCGCCGCCAGAAACTGAAGGTCAGCGTCCTTCAGGAGACCACCTTTGCAGTTGCATTAACGCGTTGAAGTAGTGCGATATAAGCCGCCCATGTACTTTATGCAGAAGGGCAGGTGTGGATTGTCAAAATACGACTCCTGCCCGCTGGAGGGCTTACCAACAAGACCAAGCCCTGGAATCGGAGCCAGCTGCCAAACGGATCCGTACTGTGGTTGCTGAGCCAGTAGAGGCGATCACTCCATCGCATAGTGGTTCTCATCGTTCGTCTTTCGCAGCTCAACCAAGCTCCATAGATGAGGAAGAAAATTGTACGATAGTCCACCAACCGTCCGCGTCGGGCAATCATCAATCGTGGAATTCTAGCTCGACGATGGCCCTAGTAGATGGGGTAATGTACTCATTCTTTTTCTTCGCGGCTTCTTGGTTGCTAACCCTTAATAGGCGTTTCATTTGCACAATGCAGCTACACCTGGAACTGCGGCGACCAACGCTATTCCTGGAGCCCAGCTGAATGACTTTGAGTCCGACGTGTCAGAAGAAGCAACCTCGGTAAAGGTTGCCGCGAGTGATCGTGTCGCACCGGCAACAAGTCGCCTTCCTCCAGTAATGCGGTCGTTAACGTACTCATCTCAATCCGCCGTTTCGGACCTCATGTCACTCCTTCCAGTCCAGGAGGCTGCGGCTCTGCTTGTAGATACCTACTTTGACCGAGTGCACTGGTTCATGCTTATTTTCCACCAAGATACATTTCGGCAACGGTGGCCAAAGCTTTACAAGCAAGCGAGCTCGCGAACCTCAAATTGTCCCCGGGATTTGGGCTTTATAAGCACGTTTCTATTGGTCATCGCTATCGGGCTCCAATATACTGGGGAACATCGCCGCCATCTATTGGCTACGTACGGTATAGACCCAGAGAAACTTAAAGAGCAGATTTTCTCTGCCGTGAGAACACGTTTGTTGGACATAGTTTCGGTTGGCTCCCTAGAGGTTGTACAGATGTGCGTGTTACTTGGGACTTACTACCTATACCACGGTGCCCCTCGACTGGCGTGGCCGGTGTGCGGCTGTGGGCTGCGCATAGCTCAGGCCCTAGGGCTTCATCGTAAGATGTCCTCAAGCTCCCAGCAGTCATCCCTGGGAAGCACTGCCCTACGCCAGCTGAATGAAACAAGGAAACGAGGATGGTGGGCTATCTATGAAATTGAAACCTTCTGCTCAATGACATACGGATACCCCCTCAGCATCAAAGATTCGGACTGCGAAGTTGAACCGCTTGACCCTGCATTTAACTCCCCCATTGGACAATCGTCATCTTCATTTGATGAGCCACTCACAGGCGAGGTGACTTTGCTATCTTACAAATATCTCATGTCCAAGCTAGCAGTCATAACCAAGGATGCCTTATCCGAATTGTACCATGTCCGTCTCGATCCTGCGGAAGGTTCCCGCCTGCATCACTCGACCTTGGATCCGCGCTATGTTATTGAGAAGGTCCGCGCGATTGATACTAAGCTGCGACAATGGCACACAGAGGTGCCTTTCAAGCTACGGTGGGAAAATATGAGTGCGGCTGATGTCAGCTACTCATCTCCACAGGCAGTTGACCGCGATATCGGTGCCTCAGGCCCCCTTTTTGAAAGCCATATATATCAGCTCCAGGCACTAACCCTCACGCTTGCTTACGAAAACGCTAAGATCTTGGTTCATCGTCCGCTACTCTCGTATAAGGCCGTTACTCATTCCTCTAATTCTGACCGCAGTGGCTACACAGAGTCTTCCCCGAACTACACAAGTCCCTTTCATTCTTCGCTTCAGACTTGCCGGGCTGCTGCCATGAGCATGGCCCAAATGGCCTCCAATCCGATTGTCAATCTCATATCAGAAACCTACGCTACAGCCTTCGTCAGCATCCACACCTTTACAGCTGGAGTGACCTTAGGTATCCTCAGTAGTATTGACCCTCTAGGGCCGCAGTCTCGCGATGCAAAAATTGGGATGCATCAGCTCATGGGCATTCAGATGAAACTAAAGGATCGATCAGTTCTTGCTGCCCAAGGACTGGACATTCTCAAGCGCCTCACGAAGCTTGTAATTGAGAAAGAACTCAATGTGATGCTTGACCTGTCCAAACCTATCGGGCTCTCGCGACCGAATGATGGTGGAGGTGCCAGTACACCTGGTTGGATCGAACAAGCTCAACTTAATGAGAACGGCGGTTCTACAACAAATATTCGTCATACAGATGACACAACATATCCTATTCATAACCAACAGCCAGAGATACCCGTAGCGGATTCCATCTACCCTTTCAACGTGATGGGCGAGAGTGCCCTTCAATATACAGGAGACCCTGCCTTATCCGAGGCCATATATAATTTCGATCAAGGTATGAATAATTCCTGTATTTTCTTGGCTTCTGTCGCTAATACTTCAACTAGCACTATCTATATATGCCCCTCGATCACCAGCGGATCCAGAAGAGTCACATAATCCCTCATTCATTCGGCAATCCGCCGACGAAGGCTTTCCGATGCTGGAGCAAACGTGGATCTGGGGTCTAGATAATGTGCCCCCCTAAACGCTGCGAAACCATCAACCGGGTAATTCAGCAACTTGGACTGCCAAGTATATTGGATTTGACTACGTCCTTCAGCTATGCACAGGTTTCTCAGTACCCGCCCGTGCTGTTCTCAGCCATCGGCCTAAACGAGACTTCCACCGGCTCATGGCCAATGCCACGCTTCTTCGCTTCCTCAAGAATTGCCACGGTTGCTGTTGCACCAATTCGAGTCACACCCAAGCTCATGACATGCAGCAAATCATCCAATGTTCTCACACCTCCCGCTGCCTTGATCTGAACGCACTTCCCCGACTTCTGCCTCATGAGCTTAAGGTCCTTGACTGTCGCTCCACGATAGTTGTAGGACCCATCGCTCTGCTTGACGAACCCATATCCAGTCGAGGTTTTAACGAAGGCGACCTTCAATTTCGTACAGATCTCACAGAGCCTCACAATATGCTCGGACTGAAGGTAGTCATTCTCGAAGATCACCTTCAGAATGGCACCTTGGGCAGTGACCGCGTCGTTGATCTGGCGAATCTCTTCCGTCACATAATTCCAGTCGCCGCCGAGAACTTTTCCCACATTTACCACCATGTCTATCTCGGCACCGCCTGCCTTGGCGGCTGCGGTCGCTTCGGTCACTTTGACTTCGGTCGTACTGTTGCCGTGGGGGAACCCAATGACAGGGCAGACAAGGACGTCGCTATCGGCGAGCTCCTTCTTAGCCAGCGGGATGTGGTATGGCTTTACGCAGGCGGTTGCAACGTTTCTCATGCGGGCAATACGCAGGCCTGCGACGATATCGTCGTCGGTCACGGTTGGGTGCAAGAGAGAGTGGTCGATCATTTTGGCTAGTTGTGTGAGGGTCACGGTGATAGTGTTGGACGACATCTTGCTTGTTTTGAATGATAATATTAGGAACTCGGTAGTAGAAAGTAAAGAAAAGTATACAATAATAAGCCGAGACTTTATAAGCTAACAATCTATGCCCTATGGGGTGCTTTATATAGCAACGGGCAAATGAACAGTTCCGTCGGAAAGTCGGGTTGATTACCGTATTTGGTAATTGCTTCCACCGGATGAACTTCGCCTGTGAGGAATCTGTTCCGGATATCTTGCTAACACATTGCTTCTAATCAGAAAGGCTAGAATGCGAACCTCTACCTAGTCCCGTTGCCTACATATATTCAGTAATCAGTGATTTATGATTGTTTAGCGGGCCAAAACAGTGTCTTTAGATCTGACACGATGATATTGATACGTAATATATATTGTATTCATGTACACATTGCTTAGCGAACTGACCCCAGCCAATGCCATTCCGACTGCCAGGAAGGCGGAGTTTCTATATCCTAAGCCCATTCCCGCCGAATCATCACAAATTCCATTTCCTCGCCAGCTCAAACCCCTCGGCGAGAGCAACAACCCGAGTCTCAATGGCGTACCCCTCTTTCTCGAGCTTCTTCAAGTCCGCAAAGAGTGATTTCATCGGTAGCGTAAAGACCTCGATAAACTCCTCTTCCTCCAGCTCCGGGCTGGGATTCTGATTCTCGGGCAAAGACAGATCCACATTCACATACGCGAGCTTAAAGTTATTGTTACCCATTCCGGGAGCTATCCGATAGTCAGCCGACGTGCGACCCGGTTCACATCATCAAATGACCCCGAAAGATACTTACAGTTATACAATGTTTGGCTGATTCTCTCTACCACCCCGACATACCCCGTTTCCTCTTTGAGCTCTCGCACCGCGCATTGCTCCGCGGTCTCTCCAGGGTCGATTAGACCGCCTGGGATCTCGACAACCACCTTGTCCAGAGAAGGTCGGTATTGTTTCAGGAGAATCAGCTCCGGACCGGTAGACCTATCCAGCGTAGCCACCATACTGACTCCGTCGAAGTCACTATCGGCCGGGCGAGTCTGTTGCGATGGTAAGCTACGATGATTCACCTCAGGCTATTACATGGATTAGTGAAGTATTTTACCTGCATTTCGGCGGACTCCCAGGTCCTCTGGATGCCATTGGGGTCGCGATAGGTCGTTTTAACTAGGCGCTTCCATTTGGCTTCTTTAGTGTCCTATTCTTCTTGTTAGTGCGTACCAGTAGTACAAGTTAGGGTATTATGCGCACTAAAGTACACCGTGAGAGGACAACAGGTTTTCTGTACTTGGTGTTCGACATATTGAAGACGTTGTGGGCTAATTTGACAATACTATCTGGGTCGGAATTGGTGATAAAATGCCCCGCGATAGGCAATGGTGGGGCCATGTCTGTAAACCAGCGCTATCAGCAATCAAATAGTGTCTTTTAATTGGCTTATGCTCTCACCGCTTTATATATCGCTATCAGTTTTATGATGACTTGGGGAAAGTATACAGGGGTACGTTTTATATATCGTTTCGTTAGAACCATTTTGCTGGTCTCTGTCCCCGACTGGTCGATGAACAACCACATTAACCGGCTGAATGTGGCCATCAAATCTTGACATCAAAGCTAGTGCCAACAGCATTTATATTGCTCCATCTTAGGAAGAGCCACTTGATGGGCTCTGCCTCTGAGCTACGTAGGTCTGGGTTCCGCTCCGCTTCTTGGTGACCCGGCTCTGTCTTTTAGCGACCCAGCTCTAGGCTCAGCCATAGATCTGCTGCTTGGATGATCCACATCTAATTTGCATTGGAACCGTGCCTTGCCCCGGCTCCAACGCCACAGGCAAGGAAAATGCCATTTCTCGAAATGCCTGACGACCATTGTGCGCAAGAGGAACTGCAATTCGATTGCCAGAAATGGCCGCTCTGAGACAGATCATCTATCAAGGACATGGGTCGCCCTTGGTCGATGAACACCTACACAAACCGACTAATCAATCAGTCGGGCACGGAACATAATCGCACCGGACGTCGAACTCGCAACGCTCTGGCTAGTTATACGTCCTACTAAAACCGTCAATCTCGCTGTCTTAAACACAAGACTCTAAAGATTTAACGCTCTTCTACGGAACTGAACTGTCAATGAAGCTCTCAATATCCTTGACCATATCATTCGGGCATGGCTCAACGGCCCCCCGAGACAATTTGTCCTTTCGCCTCCGATAACGCAGGGCAGATCCTGACGATACCTGTGTGATGCACATTCTGCGTGTCGCCGATTACTAATCGCGAACCGTCGCAGAATACTTACACTCCCTTCTCGCAAGCGAACGCAATGACGGACGCAATGGTTCAAAGACAAGTAGGGGGGTCTTAAGGAGAATGATGAGATGAACGATGCTTAGATCACATTCAAAAAATTTAAAGCCTGACCTCGAACCCTTTCCAAAATTAAAAAAGAATCTAACTATGGAGTATTGGCACATCTTCTAGGCCAGTGGCTGGGTTTTGGCCGCTGGTCATCCGTTTACCTATATATACAGAGAAACAAGCTACAAGCCTACTTATTTTTCTTTCCCACTACACTCTGTCTTATCCTCGCCTTCCCTCTTCTGTTTTACCGCATAACGGTCTAAGAAATGGACAAACGCCGCCGCAAAAGTCAGCAAGCTTACAATACTCCCGATAAAAGTTCGGGCAAATTGCCAGGGACTGAACTGATCCTGAACCCCACAATAAACCATGGGCGGCCCAAAGGACAAGCCGGCGTAAAATAAAGAAGCTGGACGATCAGCCACTCTGAGTAGGAGAGGTGCATGAGAAGGGGACACTAAACCTACCTGCCATTGTTTGACTTGAATTCCCACGTACAGCCCGAGCCAGAAACAGTATCGATATTACTAGAGAAAGCACCATGATCCCTACTAAAGATATTAATCTCGCAACTCCGATTAACTATGCAGATGGGATACTTACAGAAGTTGCGTACCCCGGCTGAGGAGCTGTACCACTGTTCTTTGATGTCCTCCTGGACGGTTCGGTAGAGAAAAGGCCCAACATCGTCTCCGAATATCGTTCTGAAATATCGGGCCGATGCATCGCGGAGATCATTCGGCCGACCCAAGCGCCAGTGACCGGCTACTTCTTGGGCGAAGTCGGGGGTTGTGTCATGTTTGGAGATGAGTAAGTCAGTCAGATAGGTCCTTACTGCGCTGGGCCCCGCGGAGGCAGGAGGGAACGACATTGTTTTTGACTACTTAGATGGTACAAATAACAAACACAGGTTTTTGGCGGCGGGGAGGCCTCAGGCAAACGTGGTGGCTATGACTAAGACTTGTCTCCTTAACAATCTGGCATCAATCAGGGTGACTGCCTGAATGCTGACCAGGCAACAAGGCAACCATGACCTAATATGTGACGTCATGGACTTCTTCCACTTCTCGCCTGCTTTCCTCAACTTCCAAGTCATCCATCCATCCAGCCCCTTTCTGTGTGATCAATTGACCTTTATACCTGTAGAGAACAGCTCCGAAAACATGCCCGAACCCTTCGCCACCTTCCGGAAACGCCGCAGCGATGAATTGGCCCGTCTCGCTGACGAGCGCATGCAGCACGACTTACGACAGGAAGATCGCGACACTCTCAAATCCGCTGCGTCGAAAGTGTCGCTTTGGACAGGCATTGGCTCCGTGATTGGAATTGGCCTGGGTCTGTACGTCGCCTTTCGGCTGCGAAGCTCGCGCAAGGCTTTCTTCGACGCTTTCCGCGCGCAGGAGAGACCTACGCAATTGGTCTTCGCTGATGGTCGAACGGGTATGTGATTAAATGCGATCGGTTCCTTTGCGACGGGATACTAAATGAGATATGCTCAGAGTCGATTCCGGATATCACACCTCTACTAAAGCCGACGACCCTGGGAGATTTCGCAACGTATTTCTTTGCTTCTGCGGGTGGGCTATTTTTGGGTGGAGAGCTAGGTGTGATGAACTGATGCGTGTAGTATGTGTGACAAGTGACTGGTCTGCTAACTGATTTCTTCTTCAAAGGGTTCATGGCTGGAGCGGCGAGTGGAAGTCGCAGTATCAGGGCTGATGCCGAGCAGAGGAAGAGAATCGAGACTGCTTTCAGGCGATTCCGTGCCGATGTACTGCGGAAGGAGGCTGATGCATTAGACCGTGGAGAGAGCGTTGCGGATAAGATGTTTTGAATGTGTAGAGTTCCTCAAGGGACTCGTGGGTGCCATGTCTTCTGCTAGTATAAAAGCTTTGCTCTGACTTCCTGCCTTTCTGTTCATTCCAATTTTAAGAATGGTAGAGGGGGCCCCTATTAGACTAGGGTTCTCCGCCCCCGGCTTCTCGCCTGTATCCGTAGTATTGGCCCTGCATTAGGAGCTCGTCATACGCACCCAGGATCATCCGTGTAATCGCCGCTTTGAGGTTGCTATCTGCGACAGGGACAAAGCAACACCCCCCTCTATTGATTGAGTATTGACTGAAAGTCTGAGATGGCCAAGTTGACTTACTAAGGCTTCGAGTTTTTATATCTCGCCATACTATGCATGAGAATCGGACCCGCGACTTCGAGGACAAGAATATCAATTTTAGCCCAATGTGCATATGCAAACCGTTCCATATACGTATTCACGACATCTAAAGTTTAACTTCAATTTCAAACCACACAGTGGCTTAACGTGGACTTTAATCATCTGATGACCGCAATTCCTTTTTACAGTTCGACAGCGGCCTTCGGGAGAAGAAGGAGGAGTGGTTGGCGGACTTGGTGATTCTGAGTAAGGTACTACTACCGAGGGCTAAGAAGAAGTTTAGCCGCGTGTACGCCGATGTTAATCTGAGATGGTTAGAATTTTCTGGGACTGCCCGCGTTTTGAGTCGTCAGATCCAGTGGATTAAGATATAGAAAGAGGTAATTTGGTAATCAACATGATTCCATAAAGGGAAACCTTGAAGACTCAAAAGATTAATTAACTATAATTTGAAATAATAACGCTAAACAATAGACATAACCGCCTAAAACAGAGAACCGGTATCTAAGTATAGTCCGATCTCTGTTTATTAGTTTCGCTAATCCAGACCAGTAATTCGACTAAGACCGATAGGGGTAGATCTACTTCTCCGGATTTTATAGATGTTCTGGAAAAGTCATTTTGATAAAATCTATTATCTAGTGTGGTTGATTCGCTTCCCGCTCCTATAAAAAGCGTTACCTTGAGGAAGCATTATTATTACGGGCAGGGTAACTATCTCTTTCTGTCTCAGAGATCAGAGCATGTTCTAGTTTAAATCAATTTACAAGAAGATACCTTATTCGAATTTCTTAAGAGTCCTTGTCAACACCTAACCAACACTCGTATTTTGGTTCGGACGCAGGATAGAAGAAGGATGAGCTGAAAGAATAAGAGAGAAAGAGAAGAGAGAAGATTATTAAAGATAATGGAAAACTTTCAAGTGGTTTTAATAAAGAGATCCGATTTAGAAGGATTTCTTTTTTATTATCTATATTCTGGCTTTGGCTGTCTTTTTCTTCGGAGAGAGAGAGAAGGGCGTTAGTCACGCTATATAGACGGCTCTAGCCGGGGTAAGAGACGTAAACTATGAGATAATTCCTACAATTCGAGGATATATAGATTGAAAGACCCCCGGATGGGGAACAGTGCCAGGAACACGAGAGAGCGGGGAGGAAAACAGCGGGGTGGAGAGACAGCGGATGTGAGAGTCAGCCAATGGGGGAGAATCTTAAGTAACAGAGAATGACCAGGTGGTAATCATGTAACCCTGGTTCTTGTGGAATTACGTTGCGTGTTTTACCTATTGGGTTGCCTAGTATAATCATATCATCTTAGGAGACCATTACTATTATATACCACCTAGCCAAGAATTCCAGGGGCAAAGGCCAGCCCTAATATATTTACTATATACGTAAAGCGGAACGGTGCGCACCGAACTGTATTGCAACCCCGGCGATGGAAGACATGATTTAAAAAGAAAATGTAGAATAATCAATGGCTTCATCGACCAATTTTCAGTCCTCCGATCTTCGGATGTCTTTGGGTTTAGGATATTGTGTAATTAATAGTGAACAATCTGATAATTCTTCTATATGGGACTTAAAAGCTCTGTACGATTAAGTATGAATAGCGGCAGCGGGCGACCTCTGAGTTTACAGAGGGACTTGCTAGGTTAACACCCTGAGTGCTATTCCTTCTTTGAGCCGAATTCCCTGTCCGAAAGTGCGAGCTCTTGGATGCGTTACCACCCGGTTGTACATCGGCGGCTCCACCCAATGTCGTTCGAGTGTTAAATCCGACGGGAGATAAGCTGCAGGGAGATAGATTGAGGGATGAAACTTGCCTCCACCGGCTAAACCGCCATCTTTGCCTGCCGCGCTCGGGGACGCGGGAGACATCTAAACTAGCGCATCCTCCGCCCAGCCCTTGGGGTCGGGGCGGCCAACCCTATTAGCGAGGACGCTGCCAATGATTGGCATGATTACCTCCCCTGACAGTGCTGTGGATTAGAGGCGTACCAATGGCCGGTGAGCAAGACCACGTGTGGTCCGGGATGGCTGAATAGCATCAGTATGGATTTGGATTAGGACACCCCGTATTTCCCATCTTGTCCCCTCGAATTCTCAGCCACAAAAAACGCCTTCGACCCAACCAATCCAATCCGGGTAAGGCAATGGGGCAGAGCATTCACCCTCTCGGCATCAGCCCATCTAACCGGGATTGGTAGGGCTGGGGGAGCCGTGAGTGGTGCGAAGCCCTAGAGTCGATAAGGATCTCTTCTGTCCTTTGTTTCTATTCGTGCGACATGGATTCAGCCTGGGGAACTCCCCTCTTTTGTCTCGGAATTTTTTTTTTCTTTCCTTTTCTTTTCTTTGCCTCTTCTCTTTTATTTTGTCTTTCCTCCTACCACCCTTTAAATTCTTCGTTTTCTTCTTTTTACTTTTGTTTCCTCACAGACTCCTCTCCTTCCCTGTCCGTCACCTTTCGGTCATCCGGAGTTTGGATCCGTGTCACTTGACGGGACTTTTACGTACAGATTGTCCTCCTTTTGCGCTTCTTCCCCCCCCCCCC